AGTTTTTAATTCTGGAGTGAAACCGAAACTGACCTGTGTTTTGTATTTAATTTCTCGATATAGGATCTCATTTTGGGATCTTTTGTAATGCAAGATATGTCTCACATCATAATTGTTTAGTTAAGAAAAGCCGTTCGCGGAAACTTTATTTTGTGACACACATGTTCGATCCAGGCACTTCAAAATATTTTGGAGATTTCAACGTCACTTGACAGGGTCTTTTATACACCTTAGAGGTAACATAAAATATTCTATTTGTTGAAAACATCCGGGCTGATATTTGTGCGTTCTGGCTGCCTTTTCTCGCTCGGACAATTGTCATGTGAAATAATGAACTGCGGGTCTTTTGAATATTTAGATGATTAATTTATTTAATATTATTCCCAGCACAAGAAGAACAGAATAAAACCAATTTGACAGTACGTTCACAAAACGCCGTTCTCACTAAAAAATCTCAAAGAAGGAATCCGAGTCAGACAGCTGAAGTGTGAGTGTTCTTTAAAGCAACGAGTGACGGATTGGACTTTATATTGCATTCAGTGTTTGACTGTTTGTATATATTGACAACGATGTCAGGAGTTTTTCACATGCTACTATAAAATAAAATGATACCTTTCTGGAAATTATATTATGGTTAAATGGCGTAGTCTTGTGATCGTGGCGTTCAATCGGGCATGCATTGCCGCGATTTGTATTCATAATAATATTAAAATTAACAAATTTTGGCACGTAATTTTTCAAGCTCTAATATAATTTTTTGCTTATGATTTAATTTCAAACGCGTGAAAAAGTATGACAATCAAAAGTATGCTAATTATCATCACTGGTGCCAATTGCAGCACATTTATAAAATGTAGTCTAAACTTAATTAAAACATTCTTGCTAATGTGAGAAACCCATGTAAAATAACATTAATTGTGGGTAAAGCATATGGTGCCATCGAAGTCGCGACTTTTGACAATCGGCAAAACTTCCAAAGTCACCGCAAATAAAAAAACGGATTTTTTTTTTTTTTTTTTTTTTTTTTAACATTTAGTTACTTTTATTTTTACGCGCCGTCGTTTTGCCAATTTCAGCCTTTCCAGTTCGTGGGAACGCATACCTGCTTGGACGTCTGCTCACTGCAGCACATTTGATTGGCGCTGGAAGCCGGTGAAACAGTGGTGAGTTTTAGTATTGCGTATACGAGCGACGCAAGCGCTCTGTTTGTGTTAGCTTTTCGTGTTCGACACTGCGCGTACACAGAGCCAAAAATTGCGGTCTTGGATCGGCGCATGGCGATGAGACGCTTGCGCAACATGGAGCACGCAACTCGAACGCAAACGCACTGCGCTTGCTTTTTTCTGTACGCAAAACTAAAACTAGGGAGTTTTCGTAGATCGTTTTCGCCGTCCCGCAAGGCCCTCCGCAACCCGCTACGATAGCGGGAACTTCACAGTCAAAGCTATCGGCGCGCAGGCGCAGTAGCAACTTCTTCGTTGCGGAACGCTTAGCGGAGAGGGAAACGCGGTCTACGAAAACTCCCTATTCTCTAGTAAGGTTCAATCCGATACCGGCTGCAGCACTATGTTGGGACAGTGAAGAGTGTTGTTTGCATCCGGAAATGGCATTTCGCGAGCCATGGTCGCGAGCAGTTCCGCCGTGCCCGCTGAGCAGGAGAATCGGGGGGACCCTCACTAGAGCGCTTTCCGTTTTCGCCGCGGGAGGGCGAGCAACGAGCTCGAGACGCAAATAAAAAAATAAAGTAAAAAACACGAATTTTTTGCGCAGTATTCATACGCCGCGCAAAGTAGTTCTTGCAATAGGTGGTTGTCGGAGGAGGAAGCTATGGCTGTTGTGCATTTGAAACAGAAACGTCTTGATAAGATAACATATATCTAATCTTAAATGCACCTACATGTATCCTCATTCCGCAGAGCATTAGTATCCGCATTAGTATCCGCAGAGCATTAGTAATGCTCTGCGAGGTGCCGGACTTTTTTTGTATACGTAATATAAATGGTATTGTAAATAAACTATCCGCAAAACCCAACGTTACTAAACCACTCAGTTGGGAAACTGCCATAGAGACTGCTCTGAAAAAGTGTCCCCGATCTGTCCTCGAGCACCGAGCTAATGGCGAACACAACGCCGCCATTTCTCCCGCAGCGGCCACTCGAGGAACGGCACGTGACGTCTATTTTGGCTTTAATCGGCCATTTTGGTGCCGAAACAGATACAGCGGAAGAGGTTGCAGGGTAAGAAAAAAATATTTGACACCATTGCGAGTTTTTACAATGTTACAAGTTCACATGTGATGTATGCTCTACACAAAACAACGTTTACGCGACGCAACGATCACTCCGGCCGTCGCAGCCGGCGAGGCGGAACCAAAGTGGCCGTATTACAACATGTCCAAGGACAGGCAAGTCAAATGTACCCGGCCGTTGAGCGCCGTGAGGTACCGGCACGACCAGCGCCGCAGGAACTCACACTCCCCACGGAGGAACAGGGGTGCCCCCCCCCCAACAGGGGTGCCCCCCCCCAACAGGGGTGCCCCCCCCCCCAACAGGGGTGCCCCCCCCCCAACAGGGGTGCCCCCCCCCCAACAGGGGTGCCCCCCCCCAACAGAGGGGTGCCCCCCCCCCCAACAGAGGGGTGCCCCCCCCCCCAACAGAGGGGTGCCCCCCCCCCAACAGAGGGGTGCCCCCCCCCCCAACAGAGGGGTGCCCCCCCCCCAACAGAGGGGTGCCCCCCCCCCCAACAGAGGGGTGCCCCCCCCCCCAACAGAGGGGTGCCCCCCCCCCCAACAGAGGGGTGCCCCCCCCCCCAACAGGGGTGTCCCCCCCCCTGTCTCCCCAGCGGTCGCGCCGCGTCTTACTACCGAAGTTAAAATGCACCTAGGTCGGGACGCGCTTCCTGAAAGCACCGCTGAGGCATGGTTGTATAAAAACAATATCAATTGTGCCGCAAAACCTTGCAAACTAAAGATTTTAAAAACATCACGCGCCCTTCATTTTGTACTAAACTCCAATAAATTCCATTCAAAAAGAGTCATTTCCGTTTGTTTTTACTCAAAAACATGCTTTCTAAAAACTGTCGTATTTAGCTAGGTCTCGGTGGACGCCAGCGGCCCAGGTTTCGACGGCGAGTTTCCCAACTGAGTGTTTTAGTAACGTTGGCCAAACCCACTGAACATTTCCTGTATATTCACGTTTTGTGTTGCGGATGACCCAAGAACTATCTCACCAGATAATCCGTTGGTATGCGGAGCTTTATACCTCTGCGGTTTTCACTGCTGATTTACATCTAGCATGGACGTCCCGATGACGGGATGGCTCTGTACCCCTGATGGACCGCATACATCGGTTTCCTAACCGCCACGATTCGCTACAGGTATGCAAGTCGGTGATTTAATATTTGAAGTATGAAAATATGAGCTAAATCAAAAGGACGAAAGCCATGTTCTTTTTCTATACTTCTGTGAAAGAACATTTCGTTAAGTTTTTGTTTTTCGCGAAATCATCAAATCGCATTGTGGGCCAGTGTAACGTTCATTTGGCAAAACTAGAAACGCAAGAAAATAAAATGCAATTTAAAAAAAAAATGTTTACGCGAAACTAGGATTAGAATACAGGGGGGGGAAATATATATATTACATATATTTTTTGTAATTTCTTACTCAGGCAGTGGCGGATCCAGGGGGGGGGGGGGGGTGGCGAAGGGGGCGGCCGCCCCCACCCCCATACAAAGTCGAACCCCTCCCTCCCCCTTTCACAGAGGGCAATTTGACATGGGTGGACCCCCCTCGCAGAAGTAAGAATGGGAGAATAGTATCCTTAAAAATTTTCCGCCCCCCCCCCCCAAAAAAAAAAAAAACAAAAAAAAAAAAACGGAGTTCTGGATTCGCCCCTGTATTCAGGTATACTAGGTATACTTCGTCTCACCTTAGCACGGACTAACTGCGAAAGCTGTGCAAGCGCGAGCGGCTAGCCTTGACTGTTTTGACACGAGCGCTTCTGCCTACAGAAAAAAGTACCACCTGGCTACACCAAGACGTTTTCCAGCCCACGCTCTATTACATGCTCGCTAACGCTTGTTCACGTTTTTAGGGCAATGCTGTTTATGGCTAGGGTTCCGTGGATTTTTCACGTGTCTCAACAAAAACTCGGAGAGCCCTTTGTCGTCGTTCCAAGCGCTTGCGTGCCTAGTTTCCTTCCGCTCTCCCAGGGTGGCGGTCCCGTCCCGCGTGTCTACTTTCCGCCGGGTGGCGGGCCCGTCACGCGTGTCTAGTTTCCGCCGGCTCCTGGGGCGGCGATAGTCGTCCACGCGAATGTTTATGTATGTATATATATATATATATATATATATATATATATATATATATATATATATATATATATATATATATATATATATAACAGAAAGACAAGTTGCCGTTTTCCATTTTCAATTTCACTTCTTTCGTCGATAGAAGAGCAACGGCGGGAACGGCAACGAGAATGTCAGCGGCGGCGGCGGGAGGCCAACACCGCCATGAAGATCGTGCATAAATGTGTTCGTACCTTTGTTCAAAAATCTGTGTCACGTCTGTGTCGTGTGCTAAACAGTTTCGCTAATCATCCACCTTCCGTTTTTTTTTTTTTTATTATTATTATTATTTTTTTTTTTCGTACATTACATGTTGAAATTGCATTCATGTAGATAGGGCTTGAACAAACGCCGTATTTCTTTTGCTTAAATAGACTTCGAAATATTACGCTGAATCGTGTCAAAGCTGAATAAATTCGTGTGAGTGCATAAACACGCGGAAACACGATTTGTGGAAAAGATTGAAACCGAAACTAGAAAAAAACTTAACGCCAGAATGTAGAGATGAATTAATACTAAACTCCAATCATACATTTATAATTCTGCAGGTGTGTTTAAGATGTAGCTATAGCGAGATATGGTTACAATAATTACTATAAACGGCAAAACTTGCGGAAAAAACAAACAAACAAAAAAAAACGTTGGCTATTGTTGGCTAGTTTAAAATGCAGAATTCAGATCGATTAGCGGAATGGCTTTATCGTTTTCAAAAATTCGAACGTTTTGCGTAGTTTTGGATTCTGGCACCCTGTCCCGTATTTTTCAAGCAAAATCTACAGAACGTTCCATCGGCATTGAGGACGTTGAGGACCCTTAAACGCCTTAAACAGCTTGAACCAACGTGGCTTGAACGGCATCATGTCGGAAGATTTTAATGTCAGGTTGTGCACGCTCGTCGGGAAACACCCGGCCATCTACGACATGTTCGACGTAAATTTTCGAGAGGAAAGCGTGAAAAAAGAAGCCTGGATGGCTATTTCAAGAGAATTAGGAGTGCCAGGTGAGTCCCGTACGTCACTAAGAATGTATCAGGCGCACGTCCGTGTGGCGGAACTTCTTTGATGTTTTCTTGCTTACAAATGTTCCGCAAATTGGTACGTAATCTAGGCTTCTCCCTGGCCGTTCACGTCGTTGTCAGTCAAGTGCACATCGTAAATTTTTTTCAAGTGTTCTGTACAGCTTGTAAGAGGCGCGTTCACGTGAGGGGGTATTGACTGACGTAATTTTGTCAATCGTTTTTCTCATGACGTCCTCAAATGCGTAGTGCACAGAGGCCTAGAAGTTCGAGGTCCCGCTGAAATGGATCAACAAAATGACAGATTAACGTCATGCGAATACCCGTGCGAGCGCATCATTTTACGTAGCTTCAATAGTTTGGTAGCTTGACTTGTGTATGCCCGGAGGGAGGGTACCAAATCTATTTACTCGAAGTAAATGGATTTGGTACCCTTCCCCTCTTTTCTTTCTGGCCGAAGAGAGAGGGAAGATTGTTTCTTCACCTACTTTAGTTTCTTTGTATCAACTTGGGGGCCGAAGATAACTTTCGATAGAGACAAAAGCGAAGTTTCCTGGAAGTCGTTTCTGGCAGGGTAGCCAGGTAGTTCCTAGCTGAAACCGCCAAAAGCCAGACGGCTTAGCCCAAAAGTAGCCAAATACAAAAAAAATTTATGTAGCCCAAAAGTAGCCATATTTTGCAGAGCCCAAAAAATTGCGCGCTTGAATGTGCGAGCTCAATTCGAAGGCACTGCGTCTGCGTATCTAGGGTTTAGGAGCAGCTTGCAAGATCTACATCTTGAAATATATTGGAACATTTTATTTAAAAGCAAAAGTACAAAAATTTTCTACACCCGTTTTTGAAATCGCATAGTTATAAAGCACACGCCCGTGCCCGGCTTACCCGCCTCATACATGAATTCCGTGTTAAAACGGGCAAAAACTTCTTCAGTAGGGTTGATGTCCTTACAGAACTCGTTCTTCCCAAGGAAAACAAACTTTACATAGAGGACGTTTTGAAGAGTTGGAAAGGACATGTTCTTCCTTAGGACTGACTTTGTGAGGGACATGTGACTGAATAGTCTCTCCACGGCGGCATTCGACATGCGCAGTGTCGGGAGCGCAAGGGCAAGCTCGGATAGCAACGGAAACAGGGCTGCTCCTGCGCATTGATCTTGGCCTTGTTCGAAATATTCATTGTCCCAAATTTGTTGTCTTTTGTTAAGGCTCATTGTGCTTTAAAAAAACATTAATGTTTTGCGGAAAAGCCTTCTTCGTTATATCCGGTACAACACGTGTTATCGGGCGACATCAAATTCTCCAGGATGTTTTAAGTTGCATTTAGTATCATTTTCCCTCGGATGATGTGCTTCCTGTAGGAGGATGGTGGGAAACTCGAGGAAACAAGAAACGCCAGTAGGAAGTAGAAAAAACTTGGGAGCATAAAATAAGCCACAATTACTACAAAAACAATGTCATCGGAGCTGCATCTATGTCACGGTAACTCACTTGAGCTAATAGGCTCTGGCATCACGCCCACGAATCTTCACGCACAAAATCCCTGAAAGCTGGAATCCAGAAAGGGTGGACTGTCGCTTTGTGTTCATGCTGAAGTGTCTTTTGTGCAACTACTCTAAAAAAAAAAAAAAAAAAAAAAAAAAAGTGCCGCGTTAGGATTTGAAATAGCCCAAAAATAGCCACATAGTCAACCGCCAAATTTCGAAGCCAAATGCATGACAAAGTAGCCCAATTTGGCTATTAGTAGCCCAATTTGGCTATTAATAGCCCAACCTGGCGACCCTGGTTTCTGGGCCTCAGGGCTCAGTGGGCAGACAGAGTGTAACTGACGTTTTGGGTGTGGAACAGGTGGAAGAGGCCTTGCACGCACATTGTTTTCTAACCATTTATCTTGAAGCCATAGTGTGTCCAGGTGGCAGCACATATTTTTCCAAAGGTGGAATTCACCTCTTGCAACAGACACTTTAAAACACTACACTTTCAACAGACACTTTAAAACACTATACTACTGCACTGCCCTCTGCCACATCTGCTTTGTTGGTTCTTCCTGTGATCTTAAATTCAAACTCCTTTTCTCTAGTTTGGAGAGGGAAGGCAGAAGAAAAAGCAACTAAGGTGTTGCTTGACAAGCCTCTCTCTCCCCCCACAGCAGCAGCAAAAAAAAAAAAAAGTTTGCAGCACAGCAAGGTATATGAAGTATATATGAAAAAAGTATATATATGAAGTATATGAAAAACCAATAAGAAGGATCATGAACAAAAACAGAACACAGTATGTTTATATTCAGGTCCATACAACAATTTAAAAAACCTGTTGCTCTCTTTTGTCTTTTCTTTTTTTTGTTGGTGTGTATGATTCGTAAGGGAGCTTGATGATATCTTTGTAGACTCGAAATGCATCATCAAGTGGAAGGGTATAAAGCACCGATACGTGAGCTGCAGGAGGGATGAAGACACCTCGTGGGAGCTCTTGCCATATCTGGGATTTCTCGACGAGGTGGGGATCAAAAGGCAAGTAACCTCAAACTCATTTTTATGCTTGGAGTCACCTGATTGTAATGTGTGTAGGTTGCAGAAGTGTTGTGAGTTGGGCGAGTTGGTGTGTTGACATAGTGAACAGAGCAGTGCACAAAAAGACAAGGGCAGAGATGGAACATGTTCAACACACAGCACTTGTGTGTTGTGCATGTTCCTTCCCTCCGTCCTTGTCTTTTTGTGCGCTGTTCTGTTGACTGTGTGTAGGTCGGCAGTTTGAATTTGAGTCACTCAAGATAATATCACATTCGCAAAAGATCCAAAAGTCGCTGCCCCTCATCTCTCTAAGCTCATTGAAGTGCAGAAGTCGTCGCCCCTTATATTACGCAGCTCATCAGGATAAACTCACCACCTCTCGCATCACTGCTGACCTCTAATGCCAATGCTCGCATACATCGCACAAGTCACTCATGAAAAGCACTGAATTCAGAGTCACAAATATTATGAATTGTAACCAAAACGATCAAAGTCACAATCACAAACATTACGAATTACCACCAATATCACCAAACTCAGTTCGCTTACTGGTTCACTTCACTCTTCTTTATTATTAGTATTTTTTTTATCTAACATAAGTCAATTTTGAAATGTCCACCAACATCTGAGGAGTATTTCCAAAGTTTCAGTCACTTATGTGGCAAAATTAACTAATTATGAATTTTCTTTTGTGCCTCAGTGCTAAATAAAAGGGGGAGGTTTGGACTTTCTGAATCCAAATTTCTCGGTTCCTTTTTTCAGCCTAAATTTTATTATAGTCTGTTTATTGTTTTATATTGGAGCTATAAAAGAGGCTCATTCCTTGTTTTTTCTCATTGAAATTTTATGAGGAATGACCTGCTTGTTATAGACCATCTTATGCGCACTGCTGTGTGATGACAGTACTCTAATCGAGGAAACATCTTTGAGCCTTTGAAAATAGTTTCCACTCAACATAAAAATTTAGAGAGCCAAGTCACCGTATGAGTCAACAGGAAGTTTTCCAACTGCAGACAAGTTCTTGGACAAGAAAGTAATCAACATGGGACTCAGTAATCTGGCGGAGTCTCTGAAATTCTTGTGAACCCAGACGTTTGTCTCGAGACAAGAAATCATTTTGGGAGCAGGCGTGCACCAAATGAACATGAAGGGTGATGTTCATAATAAGTGAGCTGAACAAAGAGAGGATATCAGTATTGCATGATTCTTGTAAATCATGTGTAGTTATGGCAAAATAGAGAACCGTCACTAGTTGTTATTTGGGTACCAACACATACAATCTCATTACGAAGTCACCCAATCTCATCACACACTCTGAGTCGTATCACGGAGCATCTCAGTCTCACAAACTCAGATCCGTATCATGGAATCACTCAAATTTGCTCACAATCTCGCGGTTAGTGAGTTCGTGGAGGTATGGTAACACATTCTCCACATAACCTTGTTTCCAGCAAAGTTCAAAAGCGAAAGCGAGAAAGCATTCTGCCTGCATCGGGAAGAGCTGAAGGTTCGGCCACAACAACCAGTGATCAAGAATGCAGGTGAGAGTTGACACGCAAGATACGGGGAGAGAAAAAAGAAGGGACAGTCGCAAGAGAGAAAAGTAAATGCCACATAAAATTTAGCTCATGTTGCCAGACTTGGACACCAAGGTGCCGAGAAGCCAAAATGGCTGAAAACCAGTTTGCGAAACTACCTTTTCAAACTCGTACTTGTTAAATGGCCGATGCAAACTGCTTGTAAGCAATCAATGTTATTTCTTTGAAGTATTAGTCAACCTTGCTCTATACTGCATTTGTACTTTGGTGCCACTTATTGAGCTCGCCATCCCACTCTTATTCGCCAGGCCCATGGTTCCCATAATTGAGAGGTTTGTTGCAACCACAAGCATTCCGAGCCAAAGAAAAAGTACCAGGTGAGCTTCCATGAAAACTTCAAATACTTGGGATTGACCGAGAAGCCTGTCGGAAGCATTTTCTAAATTGTCTTTAAGGCAACAATCAAAGCCTTTCAGAGCAGCACAATTACAGATCTTAAAGTGTTAAATATTTTCCCCTGTATTATTGCATCGTCGTCTTGGAACCTTGGGCTGGTTCACACTTTTGTGGCCGACTATGACAGTTATCGACATGACCGGCTTTTAAGCCTCATGTGACTGCTTACGACAGGCCGTGCAGCAGCGACGGCGGTTGTAAGCGGCTTAAAAAACGGTCGTGTCAAAGTCTGCCGGAATCAGTCACAAAAGTGTGAATCAGCTTTTATGTTAATCCCTTCTCAAGGTTTGTCGGAGAAACGAAAGGCGCCTACAAGCCAGAGGACCTGCCTATTGTCGAGCCAGACGATACCGAACTTGTTCTTGTTCGTGTGAAGAAGAGCCCTCAAGGGAGTCTGAGGTGACCATTTGAACATCTTTGTAGATGGAGTGTTTCTTTTTTTAGACTTTAGAGACTGTTTTTAAAAAAAGCTACACTAATGCAGTCTGTGCAGGTAAGTTATATAGCCAGGAAGGCATAATATAGGGGTCTAATCATTGCGATAAGTTGGTTAAGTAACTACAATTTGTTGATGCACTTTTCAATTACCCGATAAAAACATGTGGTTTCAATCAGAAAACTTGGAGGACGTGGGAAGCGTGGTGCTGCGCTAAAGTTCCCACTCATGCAACTGGCTCAAGGCTGGTAATGTGAAGACGGGCCCGCGCAATTTTCCTGTCTCGCCATCTGCACCGCCGGGCTTGCGCCTATTGCACGAGCGCTGACTTTAGCGCACAACCATGCTTTTATGTGCTCAAAGTCTTTCTGAACTTTATTGACTTAGTGGTTTTTGGTGGCACTCAACAAGTTTCTAATTGGAAGCATACGTTTATTTTCACAAATATTGTGACGATTAGCCTTTTATATTATGAACCCCTGGCCGTTTAACTCGCCTGCACAAACCAGCTTGGTGTAGCTTTCGTGGTTAGCAAGAGGGGTGCCAACTGGATATAAAGTAGTTCTAAAACTCTTCTAACTAGTACTTGGAAAGAATGTTAATTGTGACTACTCAACAATTGCATAAGAGCAAGCATATGCCCAGTGGTTCCATAATTCCTTTGATCTATGGTTTTGTGTATGAACCACCTTGGGGCCACATAATCCAACTTGTGATGTTTTGTGGACAACGGGGGAGAGCATTGTGTTTACATTGCCACACAGCAAAGGGGTTCATTTTGACTTCAGACTGAATTATCCTTTTCTATGCATTCAGCTTGAACTAAAAACTGGACTTTCCCTAGATTCTAAGTGACTGCTCGGTAAAAAATTCAGTGCTAATGTTATTTTGCTTGGCAGTTTCAAAAGACCCTTCTTGTTTTTCCTCAAGGCCTCAAGACATTGAAAAAGCAAGCAGGCCGCAGCCAGACTTTGAGACTGTCTCTGAACCAGAGAGCGCGAAACCGGCTTCAAGCCCGGTAAAACGGACGCCACGAGGAAGGAAGAGCTTGAGGTGATTTTCTTAAGCTGTATTTGATTTTAGTATTGTTTCACAATTGTCATAAACTTGCGCATATGTGAAGCTGGCGCAAAAACTGAAACTAGGGGGTGGTTCAATATAAAATATAATGCTTGAGGTATGTTCTTGCTTGGTGGTTTCAAAAGACTCTCCTGGTTTTTTTTTCTCAAGGTCTAAGGGAACTGAAAGGGAGCTACCGTCAGATCTTGAGCCTGTTTCCGAGCCTGAGAGTGCAAAACCTGCTTCGAGCCCAGTAAAAAGGACACCACGGGGAAGGAAGAGCACAAGGTGACCTTTCTAAGCAGAATTTTTTTCCCCGTGTAATTTAACAGTTGTTGTAGACTCGCTTATAAGTGGAGCATACACTTGGAACTTGCAACATCATGATTTCCATTGATGTAGCGTTCCCTGCTTGTGAGGTGGAAAATTATGCTTTTTCTGTTAATTTAAAATTATTGTCACGAACGAAGTAGCCTCGAATAGCACTTATTCCAGCCTAAGGTTACATCATTTTAATATCATTTTTCGTTGTGCCGTTTGTTCGAAGCATTTTGAGCAAAATCCTTCTTGTTCCGTATTCTACCGAAATATTGCTAATTTCCTAGTATATATCTTGCCCTTCTTGCAGTAGCATATCTGGATAAAGTTGATGTTTTTATTGAGTTACTTACGCAGCTTGAAAATGGTCTTCCAGTCTCACCAGTTGAACCCCGTATGTAAGGTGCTTCGAGTTATTGTCTTCTTAATCTCGTGACCTTTCATTTACTTTTCTCCCAGGTTTGCTCGAGAAACCAGCGAGCCGGTCGGCGAGCCGGAAAGCACGACGTCGGTTTTGACACCGGTAAAGGCTGTACGGCAGACAGAGGTCTTCAGGTGATCAGACAGCTTTTAGTTCTGTCAACTTTTTATGTGAAACATACTCTGAGTGTTCGTTGCGTGTCATTGTGAAGTTTGGAGGCGGTATGGCAGCAGTGACATAAAAAAGACTCCCTACTAAAGGCCCGTTCACAAGCTTCCGTTTGCTTAGGAGTCAGGACTGAGTTCTTGGGATTTCTTACGACGAGAGAATGCCCAGGCACGCTGGTGCCATCTGTAAGACGACTCTGGAACTGCATTTCACTAGAGAGCGAAGGTTTTGCTGTGTGCGCAATCAAATGTTCATACTATTTATCAGAAATGGTCGTTAATAACATTGTCAAAATATTTTCAAGCCAAAAAAGAATGATGCACGAAAAAAAAAAAAAGGAAATGTATGGATATGCCAAGCGTTCCGCGGCTTCCTAATAGATGGCACTTGTGTATTCCCTTGTCGTAAGAGATTTTATGAGGTCTTAAGGCACATGGTTGTTTGTTGCTTATGAAGTACACAGCTCTTGCGTGTCAATAATGTGACATGCAAGAGCCCTTTCTTTAATGTAATTTCCTCCTCGCTCGTAATGCTGGGAATTTCCAGCATTCAAGTTTGAGTGAAACTGTTAAGAGCCTGACTAGTACAAGCTGACTGTGTTTCACTAGGGGGAACTAAAGGCCCAAATATTTTCGTTGTGAGAAACTTTTGGCGACGTTTCTTGAGGGAAGATAATATTTGTGCCCAAAGCTTCTTGGCACTTTGCAATACAGGTATAGTGAAGCATCAGATGCTCTGCTAAACCTTTGATTTATAGTCTCAATAGTTTTCTGTTTATTCTTTCCCAAGGTTTCAGGCACAAGCAAAGGCAACGAGCAAGCCACCGGAGACACCTGCTGCCGAGCTTGAAGACACTGAGCTCGTTCTAGTTCGTGTAAAGAAGACCGAACAAGGCAACGTGAGGTAGTCCTCTCTACCGCTTTTCATTACAATAAAAATTCAGTACCACTACAGTGCACACTGCATGCCCAATATCTTGGAGGCCATTGAGAGGCTGGACTTAAACTTCCGAAGGTGGCCCTCAAGAATTGGGCGTGGCATCACCCGTGAAAACCGGTTTCTATTTGGGAATAGCAAGTACAGTAATCCCTCGTTATAACGAAATCGCTTTTATCGAAGCTCAACTTGGTCCCGACCGAAATGCACGCATTTTTAAGCGGATTAATAGAAGTGCATCGGCGGCCGACCACGCTTATTAGGAAGGCCGAGGTGCTGAAAGTGCGCAAGCCTACACGGAGGCGCACGGGCACGGAGACCCTTGTGTTGCCATCCTCTTCTCCACCAAGGCAAACAGCTAGCAAACTGGGAAAACGGAGTAAACGGGTAACCGAGGGCAGAGTGTGCAGAGCTGGCAGAGCGCTGCTTCCAATGCTGATGCACTGATGCAAGGACGCAGGCAGGGAGCCGCAGGAGCAGCGTCAACGTACAGACGCTACTCTCGGCGCCTGCGGCCGACGTGACTCGACTTCTGTCGGAATCTGGTCAAGGGAGCGGTGGATTCAGAAAAGAATCATGCCTTGGGGAGTCACTGACGCGCATGCCTGCTGCGTACCACACCTACACGTGCGTCGTATGGGAGATAGGAAGTGCTTACTGAAAGTCGCTTAGATCTGCGAGGTTGAAAAAAGTGGTTGGCCCAAGTCCGAAATCGCCAAAGAATTTGACATTCCGACATTGGCTGTTTGACACTATCCACCATTTTGCAGAACAAGCAAGGCATATTGGGTGGGTTCAAGAAGTTTCTCGTGTAGCAGAAAGCGCACTTGTGACCCAGGGATAAAAAATTGCCAGCTGCTTCGCGCACGTTGGATTTTCTCTTGTGAGCATGCTTGCCGAGCTGGCGCACAATTTCCATACCTGCAACAATCTCTACAGGAGTGTGTGAAAACATGTTGGCAAAGCGACCGAGAATAACTTTGATGTGGACGTTTCCGTTGTTGCTTCTGCCACGGGTGCTGTGACTGTAGACCTTGCATGCAGCCAGGGTAAACACGAAGCGACATCGGGGAGGCAGCTCGGGAAACGTTGACGACTGCAGGGACGTGAAACATCCTACTGCTGCTTTGAAACAAAGTGAAGTGCGTCAGCGGTGACAGTGTTCTTTTGATGCCTGGTGCAGTCCAAGGAAAACTGATGCCCTGATGAAATTATCGGCGAACTCCACTTAATTATTTGTTTACTCGGTAAAGCTGCCGCGAGATGTTCATAACCAAGGTTTGTTCAATTAAATATATGGTCAAAGTGTTCCGCACTGTTCCTGTCCACCTTTAAGGCTGCTAAAACTGTTTTTGGCTCTATCTCTTTTATCGAATTACCGCTTACCTATATTGAAGTTTTTTGCCGTCCCGTTGACTTTTGTTACAACGAGGGATTACTGCACTGGCCTGACATGAGTTTTTTCTTCAGAACGCCTCGAGCTAATGCGACCGCTTCGCTGCGAACGTTCTTCTTCACACAATTATGTTGTGGCATCTTTCTTCTTCGGAGCTCACTATGAGCAAAGTTCGATGGAATTTTGAAAAGTGAAACTTGTTGTTTCCGTGTTGTCTAGCCGGAGTCGAGACGAATTGGATACAATATTTGTATCCCATTTTAAAAGGAACTGTTTTAGGGTTTCTCAAGGGATAACTCATCAACTGTTTTGTTGAGTAAGTGGCAAGAAGAGAGACTAGATTGAAGAGAGGGTTCATCTCAAATCATGGGAAGCGTTTTCAATTTAATGGCAAATGCCTCCCATGTCAATTGGTCACAAGTGCACATGCATGCGCACGGTCAACGCGTTCAGCACCTCCTGTCAGCTCGTATTGCAAACACGTCCCATATAGTAACACGTGACCCTAATCGAGCTGTTGAAAACTCTCTGTAATACAGGCTCTCTAGCAGCAAGAATTTACTTGGGGCGATCTTTGTGAAGAGAACAGGAAGTGGCGGAGGGCCAAGCGAGCTCTTTTATAAAATCTTTTTGAAAAGTACGGTAGGCTCATGTGTACGTCGTCATGATACAGTTGCCAACCGATTTTTTCGGACGCCGATAATTCGGCGTCCGAAAAAAAATATTTTGGACCTAAAGGATTAACCGTGACCTACTTGACAGAAGTAGTGCATATTCATGACCAATGTTTCAGTCAACTTGAAGTCCGAAAGTTCGGTTTTTCTGACAAAATCTTTGTGAGCGATCAGCGGGGAACACCACCGAGAAGTGGCCATTTTTAATTCTACTGCTAGGAGACGCTGTACGGCTTTTTTTTTTTCTCTAGCTGCGCTTCATTATCATCATTGTTGTTTCCATTTTGCTTTGTTCATCCGCCATTGTGATCACAGACTTGAGCCTCTCATCACCTCGTCTCAATGAATTTGTTTTCGGACTACGCTGGGCTTGGACGTTGTTGCCCCATCTCCTTTTGCGCTTCCACGATGTGTCGCTAAGAAGCGCAGAGAGTACTCGACCATAACACTAGAAAAGAAGGCAGTGATTCTCAAGCTAACAGAAAGTTGCCGAACGCAAACAGGCGTAGCCTAAAACAAAATGTGCAGGCGTAACCTGAACCAGGACACTATTCACGGCTTTTTTAAGCCGCTTATACGTAATAAAGGCAAGTTTTTAAATCTGCTGATTTTTCGGACTGCTTTATTATTCGGACGTTTTTTGGTCCCTGCAAAGTCCGAAAAATCGGTTAGCGACTGTAATAGACGATTGTTAAGTGGATGATGATTAATTGCAAGTTTTGCTGAGACAGAGTTTGTAGGAGAGCATCAGACATTTTCTGGACAATTTATTCTCCATTTGTGCTCTTCCAAACCAGCAGGGCCATTTTGTAGTCAAATTCTAAACAGCACATTGGGCTCCCTCAGGAGTACGGCAAGGTCTACGTAGCTTTATTCCTAACTGAATGCGGCATTCTCTAATTACGTGCTCGTTGCCGGTAGTAAAGTGCACAAAAGTAATATGGCATTCTTTCCCAGTGGCTTCAAAACTGTCTGTTGTCTTTTTTCTTCCAAGGTTTGTGGGAGAAATTGAACTGGCAGACAAGCCAGTCCAGAATCCCAACCCCGTATGGGAGCCAGAAATTGCGAAGCCCATTTCAACTCCGGCGAAGAATACCCCACGTGGCAAAAGGATTCTGAGGTGATGATTTCCTTCGGGAGCTTTAACGTGCTTCCTTCCACCATTACTATGCGTCTCCGACTGGTGTGTTTAGCGTCCTATTCCGCCCATGCATCATAAGTGGTCTCGAAGTGGCAACGAACGACGCCGCAAAAGCCGGGGTGTCACGCTGTCGGATGTCGCGATCCTGGCGGTCGCGTGTAGAAGTTTTTAAAGAAGTAAAGCACGAGAGAATGCCAGTGTCGTCGCGGCATCTGAACTCCCAGCTGCCAAAGCTTCTGTGGACTGTCACATTAGAGAGCAACCTGCAGCAGAACGGGTGCCTGCCTCGTCTGCCACCACCGCTGCGACACCGCTAAGGTAGCGGCCGGCGACAGCGCGACACTTTTATGACCTCATCAGGAGGAAATCGAGGGACCACTTTTTAGGATGCAAGGAACACACCGGGTGAAGACGCGTTCCTGGCACTGAACCTTTGCGGTCCATTTGTGCTACACTGCACGTTACGCCATGCTTCGGCCACTCCTGCTTCCACCGCTTCCAGTCAAATAATGGAAGATATTCATGTGTGCCGACCCTCCCAATCCTTTCATGAAATTCTTTCATGAAATTGCATGTTCATGTTTGTACAAATAGGCATAGGAGTTTTGCAGACTTTCTGAGGGTACCACCTTATAACCACATTTTTGTGGATCGTATCTGGACGTCTTGGCGTCTTTACTGTCTGCGTTTTTGGTGAGGCCCTAGGCTTGGCTGTTTATGAACTTTCAGTTCGATGGTGCTGATCAGTACACCTGCTTACTGATTGTTGGCCCTAACAATAAACGAGGCTCATTTCCTGGGGTCAGTTAATTGATCATCTAGAAAGCTACCGTGACATTGGAGGTACTGCTAAAGAAGGTTTTTCCTGAAAACACCGTCTTCACTATGAAGAGATTCTGCTGGAATGCACTTTGAATGCAAATGTTTGTTGATCTAAGATGGTTATGTTAAACATGAGATTTGTTTCTAAAATTTAAAACTACACAACCTTCAAGGTGTTTCATGACTATCGGGTCCAGTTCACAAAGGGACAGGCTAGGAGACGGTGCGCGTTTTTGGAAGCCTTCCCGGGCGGAAAAAGTTAGATATAGCCAATATGTTGTTTGTTATAAAGGGTACTTTTTACATGCATTTTTATTTAAATTTTCCGTGAGTTCGATATCGACAATAATTCGTTGTATGTGGGTTCGTTCTAAACGGGTTTCACTGTATCATTCTTCAAGATTAAAAGTAACATGATTTTTTTTTTTTTATGAATCTTACGATCATTGATATCACCAATTAGCACTAGCTAAATTTCTCATCTACAGCAGAGACGGCAGACACCGTTGGGGCCGACTCACTGCCCACTGTCTAAACATAAGCACAGTTACTTTCTTGTCACTAATTACTTGTCCGCAGCTATTGGGGATAGGGAAACCCCTTTTTCAAAGTGCACTTTGGCCTTACGCCACAGTTGCCCCATTTTGAAGGCGGTTTGTGTTTCTCACAGGGCTAAGCAGGACAAAGATTTTACACAGTGCAGTTTTCTTTATATCTGCTGTAAAATGAAATGGTACGTTAAGAGCTTACACACTACACTAGGAGATAATGTGTAAAGTGTGCGCTATTCTCGTTACGTACTTGGGTAATTTATGTTGCATTTTTCCTGTTCAGCCGTACGGTCGGGGCCAAGGAAGCCGCACCACCTCAGTCAATGGAGGTGGACGATCTTCCAGTCAGCGAGCCAAGTGCTAAGAAACTCAGGTAACCAACTAATGAGAATGATGCTTCCTTCGTCATCATATTTTCTGTCGGCTATCGGGGAGAATCTCAAATTGACGCGTCCCTAGTGGATAGATTGAGAACTAAATCCATGGGGACAACATCAACGTGTACTATTTGTCGGCGCTTCTGAGGCAGCACTCGGCCCGACGTAGCGAAAGTTTGTCTGGGCCAAATGCTGACACAGCATTTGTGTCCTATCGGCGCTCCGCATTCGATCAAGGAAGATGGCTATAAAGAATCCATTTCAGAGTCCTTGCGTTGGGTAAATGTCAGGCACTGTAAGAGACGAGCTGGAGAAAAACTGCCTCCTGTAGTTGTATCTCCTCGCCAATACCTAGGATGCCGACGTCCCGTCGGTCGTTTGTGAAAAGCTCGGACATTGGAGGATTTGGGTTGGGAGTAGTGCAGATGTTTGTCTAACGTAGGTGCCGTAAGTTTGAATTACCGTTGAAAAATGCCCTCTCGGTCACTTGTAGAACATTAAATCGGCTTGAACCTGGTTTCGTGGTTCTGCATCCCGTGGCGTCTTTTCGGGGTTTTTGAAAGGAACCACAAAAAAGAAGCTGGTGATGGAAAACCAAGCTGTCATTTGCCGCACGACATTACGTCTGCGTGATGTCGTTGCAACTTTACGGTGACGCGACCAGCTGTGCAACAGGACCGCAGTAGTTCCCTTTTTTCTTGTTTGGTACTCTGAGAGCTTACGGCTTCGAGAGACAATCCTGTATTTGTTAGTTTCTAGAACTTCAAGTCGCTCGACTGTATGTTTAGACAGTGTGGCATTAGCTTGCCGTCACACGAGGTGACTTGTTTCCCTGCTGCGAGACGAGGAGGCTTCTCATTGTGCACACAAGAGCTGTTCATGCAGACTTGACTTGGACGACGCTTCGGCTTTCTGCTGCGGCAACAGAGTTTTTAAACGTGGATAGTAAATATTGCTGCAACATTTCAACGCATTAATTTAGAAATATGGCTAAGAGTTAATTTTTTTTATGTGCCCTTTTAAGTAGATGCCAGAAAATCTGCAGAAGAGTTTTAGCTGTTATTGCTTGGCTATGGCCAAAAGCTCTGGCTGCATTTTTTTTTTTTTTTTGCTTGGATGTTTGCCTAATATGCTCACGTTTTCCCTGTTGCCAGGATCGAAGCCAACGGCGGTACGGAGAAGAGCAAGGACGTCTTTAGCCTGACCGAACGTGACGAGAGATTCATCGAGTGCCTTAGGGGCAAGCTGGCACAAGTCGCCCTCGAGAATAGGGGCCCCATTGAGGCAACGCTGCTGGAGGTCATGGATCGTGCACTCAAGTAGATTTTAGCCATCAGAATCACATTGCTCTCGCATACCAATTACATAGGCTGGGTGCAGTCTGTAGAGTCACTGACCGTTTTTTTAATATTTTATTTTATTATTATTAGTTTTATTACTTCTATTTTATGGGTGCTTTTGTGTATTTGTAATTTCTAGATAAAATATCTGACTGTATTAAATGCAGCTTTTTAGCTGTGTATAGTATTGCTTCGTGAAAAGTACTGGTAGCAATCTCCATTGCACGATTGGTGCATGAGATTTTGGGATGATTATTTTATTTTTGATGGTTATTTTATCGGACGCCTTTCCCTTTGTGTGGCTCTAAAATAGAAGTCTCATTTGTACATTATAAATCCCTACAAGCCTAATTTCTTTTACCACATTTCATTGTCCCAAGGTATTTCACTGAATTTTGTGAATGTTTGAACTTTTTTGCCTCAAATGTTTTATTTGAGCGACTTTCATTGTCTTTGAAGTGTATTGCGGTTGACTTTTCTTCACCGACTGTGCTACAATTATGATGTGCATTTTAAGTCAGCTTTTAGCTCTGCCTCGTCAGGTTTTGCATGATCACCATTGCAGAATTAGGTTACCATTATGTGATACAAAGCAATTTTCAGAATTTTGTCTAAATCATCATCATCATCATCATCTTTATTTTGGCCCAGGAGGGTTGAGGTGTGCCAGAAAGGCTGGGGGCCCTTCTGGTGCTTCTGGTGATCCATGCATCGAATGACCTACCTGGCGGTGGAGTAGGCATTTCAGACTGTGGACAGTTCAGGACTGCGTGCGAAAATTCTGTCCATCTGAATTCTTACTATTCTGTGTTTAGTTACCTTGCAGGGAGTCTGCTTTCTTTTCAAAGCAGAATTTAATAAAAGAAAAAAAAAGGGTGACCATTACATGGATCTCTTCACTGCATGTTTATACGGATGTTGGTTGTTTAATGAACCAAAATCAGTTCGATAACATTTTAACAAGAAATTTATTGGATTATATTGCAGTTGCAGTTTTGAAGGTATAGTGATTACCTACAGGTAGCAGCCGGTGGACTTCCTGTCTTTGCCAGTAGACATTCACGCAGGCAAATAATGAAGGGGGGGCGGGCTGACCCCACCCCCCTTCCCCCCCAAGCCCCTCAAGGCCACCTTCTTTTTTTTAATAAAAAAAAATAAAAGACGAAAGACACCTAAGCACTTCTTATGAGTTGTGAATGCGAAAGCATGAATGTCCAATGGAACGCCGCGGAGTGATACATAGAGTTTTGTGGCGCGAGTAATGTTTTTGAGTTGTGGCAGAAGCACCGGTCACGTTGTGGATGCTAGAGGCGGCGCCATGTTCGTCGTCGGCGAGACGAGCAGAAGACCGCCGACGATGTGAACGATGGAGGCAGCGGCATGTTCGTCGGCGGCGAGACGAGCAGAAGCCTCCGAGCGGGCGCCAACTTGTCCGTTTTAAACTGTGTGGGGCCCGTAGTGGCATGGGGTGCGGCGGTTACTTTTATTGGCGCACTGGCGGAACGGACACACAGCGCCATCTGGTGGCGGTTGTTGAAACTGACGTGAGCAGCGGCCAATGGGAGCCTCGTTGCCGCGCGCCAGCCAATGGAATCTTTGGGGTCAGGGAAACTAGGTGCCGTTTTTGCGCTTCAAACTGATGACGTCAGCTCGCTCCCAAAGACAGTTAACCCTTTGCCTACCGCAAAAATTAAAAAAAAAAAAAAAAAATTTGAAAGTACTACCATATTTTTTTATGTGCCTTATAATTTTAGTATGCAATACAATGGCCAAAAACAAATGCCAAAATATTTATTATATGAGAAATCTTTGAACAGACTGCAAAAGAAAAAGGGATTAAAGTTCCGCTTCACTGCATTAATGCAGACAGTTCACGTCACCTTGCACATGGGACGTTCAGGCCGGGCGTAGCAGTACTGCTGACAGTTCACATCACCTTGCACACAAAGTGAATGCAGAACGTGGAAGGGCTGGAGGGGGATTTTCTACATTGATTCTAGTCATATGCCGACACGATGTCCTCATCGAAATCGGAGTCGTCCGAGCTAAAATCCAATAACTCAACTGCTTCGCTCTCGCTGTTCGATGAAAGATTAATTTCCTCGTCTTCTGAATCTGAAGAGACGTCACAATATCTTCGTTTTTGCCCCAATTTTGAGGCAAGATCGTCACTATGAATGCAGCAACCAGAAGTTGACGCCGCCATTTTTAAATTCCGTTTGCGTTGGAACAATTTTCTGCTAAATTCAGAAATTTACCAGGTTTGTATTTTCCGTGAAGTGCCATCTGTCCACGGCAAAGCTCACTAGAAACATGTGGACTAGCCCAGTTCGCCCATGATAGCGTATTAGAGCCCGAATCAATGTGGACGAGCCCAGCTCGTCTTCGGGAGGAGCGGTACAAACTGTGGACAAACCCAGGTCGTCCATGGTAGGGAAAGGGTTAATGCTTCAGCATTAAAAAAAAATGAAAGCCGTTTACAACTCCTTGAAACCCAGAATAGAGCGCAGCTCTTGAAGAGGAGAAGGGGAGGGTATACCCCTTTTCCCTCCTCACCACCTCGTCCTGCATGCTGCTACTCCCTCCGAGCGGCGTCATTGTGAGGTCACGTGACGTCTCGTGACCTCACGGGGCTTGTGTGACATCACGGGGGTCATGTGACCTCGCAGGTTTTATGCGACCACGGGGTCACGCAACTTCCGATGGATCACGTGACGTTATCGGGGTCACGTGGCTTCACGGGTCACCCGACCTTACGGGGGTCATGTGACCTCAGGTTACGCTGATGGCGACGCCGCTCAAGCCGGAAATGGGCGCTTAAGAGCTGCAATCTAAAATTGATATACACAGCCAAAAGGTCAGTTTTTGGTGACTTAGCAAATAATGGCTCAGCAAAATAGATCTGTCCAACGTTTTGCCTGTAACGTCATATCTCAGCAAACAACCCCCCCACTCCCCTGGCGTCGGCCGAATGTCTACCAGCCCCTCCCCATAAGTCCGCCCCTGCCTTCACAACCTTCTTCTATCCGACGGGTTAGACCCCAAGATGATCTGTTATGCAGTGTTCAGGGACCTACTCCTGCAATGCTGATGCACGTTGCCTCCAAGCAGGGCTCTCCGGTACAGCTGTGCAATGAGGCTGTTCTGTTGGGTCTAGATAGAGTTCCTGCCTATTGTTACGGTTACCTTTGTCATCATGTGCTGCCACATCTTAAAACCTAAGTCTCAGTCGGTTGCAATTATATTGCAGATAAACATTATCGTTATTACCAAGCGTCCATTTGTCACTTCCGAGGGAAACCTGACGGCTGTGTTTAGCTACCAGTAGACTGAGTGCATTGGACTCGTTTCACTGGACCTTTTGCAGAAACATCGGTTTGAGAATAAATGGATTTGGTACCCTCTCCCTTTTTTTGGCTGAGCAGAGAGGGAAGATGGTTTCTTTGTATTGACTTCGGGGCAGAAGAGAACCCACGATAGGGTCAAAGAAAAGTTTGGGGGAGCTGTATCTCGGTCACAGTGGCTCAAACAACACTCTTTACTGTCCCAATGTAGTGCTGCAGCCAGTATGGGATTGTACTTTATTAAAGTTTTAGTATTGGGTATAGAAGCAAACGCAAGCACTGTGCATTTGCGTTAGAGTTCAGTGCTCCACGCTGCACATGCGCGACGTCGCCATGCTCCAATCTAAGGCCTCGATTTCGGGCTCCCCACACGTGCAATGTAAAACGCGCTACGCCGACGCAAACACAAAGTGCTTGCATTCGCTTGTATAGGCAGTACTAAAACTTGCTACTGGTTCACCCGTTTCTAACGCCAATGAAACATGCTGTGCTGTATAGTGTGCGGATGTGCAAGCGGGTAGGCATTCCTTCGAACTGCAAAGGCTGAAAGTGGCAGAACGACGGCGCACACAAATTGAAGAAACTTCAGATGTTCTGGGAAGATTGGTTGTTGATAGAGACTTGCGGGGGTTTGCTCAGAACTCCGGAGAGACAGAAGACAAGACTAGACGCGCTTGTATTGAACTTCTTTATTTAAACATAAAAAGGATCACAAGAAAAGGAGCAACGGTTCTCTCGGCGCTTATTTTAAGAAAACTTCCGGCCAGCTAACTACGTACACCTGCAAAATCACGCCACACCTAATTTTACTTGAGCATGCCAGGGGAAGAAACAGTATGTAGAGCATATTCATTGTTATACGTGTCTGTGCCACGAAGTTCCTGCCAGAAGCTAGTGCTTCAGCCTCGGAATAAGAATGGTATGCCTTGTGCTTGTTATTGAGACAGAAAAAAGAAAACTCTTGGAGAAACCTCTGCTTTCAAGCAAACACGAGCAACAATTGTGGCTTCTTCCCGACATTCGAAACAGCAAACTGTGGCGCAAGATCCACGGTGCAGTGGAGAACCTAAAACCTCTAGGCATAGCCGCTGCAGGGATGTCGGTACTATATCGATGTAAGATATTAAATCTATGAAGCAACAACTTAACAAGGAATCATGCGGCTGGTTCCAAACACGCATACAACCATTATAGAAGCACTATACCTGTGCTATGCAAAGACGTAATGCACTCCAAATGTGCCGCACTTCCCGATGCATAGCCCACATCTCTCCATCGAGAAGGTCTGCATGTCTAGTTTTCGGGGGGGGGGGGGGGGGGGGGGGGGGGGGGGGGGGGAACGCGGAAGTCGCTCAATTGCAATTTACGGCAAGGTGGCGGTAAAGTCACTGGATCCTGGGAAAGTAACGCCAAGCTCCTCGTGTGGTCGCCATCTTGGTCCGTAAAGTGAGCAATTTCTCCTTGACCCCTACGTTCTTGGTGAGCCGATCTAGATTCGCTGGTGACGGGTAGCTTTATGGAGTGGTTTTTTGTATACCGAGATTTTGCTAACCACACACCGGCGAAATAAGCATACACCTTCGTACCACCACCAGATGCTGTGTCGGTGCTTGGAGGCACTGAAAAATCAGTTTACTGTATTGAAATACGCAAGAAGAACAATATAATTGTAAGAGATCCATGGAAAGGGGCATGAATAATAAGTTGATTGCATACAGAGTGCCAAAGAGTCTTATATTGGCGAGGAACGCCTCCAGTACGATGATGCTCCATGGCAATCTTGGCGCGACTGGTTTAGAACGACCCTCTGGAAGCTTCGAAGATTTCAATGGACCAAGATGGCGATTTCCATGGCAACGCAGACCGATTAGCCAATCGTCTTGCTAGGTTTGGGTCGTCTGTAGGTTAGTATCCGTTTGTGTCCGGCTAGCAGGTGGGAAGGCAATGGCGCTACCTTCCCAGGATTCAGTGACTTTAGGTGGCGGCAAACGGGGAGGCGCGGATAACATTTGGGTTTTCGACAGCGCCCTCCACGGGGCTACCGAGTGCTAAGCTTACATGCTCAGAATTTCAACTTTCCGGGTCCAGACGTTAACTGTTCCTCCTCACATAAATTGTCGCCGTTTACTCCTGCACACTTCACTTTACAGGAACACAGATCTGCGAGCCTCCTTACAGGTGGGCATGGGCCAAGCATTGGGAAATGCGATACATACAAACTCCTGAAATGTTTTGTCTTGCCCATGTGTTTCATACTTTTAATTGAAATGAATGCAGCCCAGCACACCGAAGCTCTCCACGTTACAATCCAGATCGGCCAAATTGTTTGTCTTTTTCCGTGGCAGGCCATGTCTCGCCAGACGGGAAAACACTGATTCGAGCAAACCCTGATTAAAATAACATTGGGACTGCAATCCTTTCCTAGTAGGCAATCCCGATAAGGAAAATTTATTAAACAAATTTTTCTTGGGTTTCTCATAGCTCCTTTATCGATGGAGTGCCACGACCATCTGAAACCAGGTTCCAGTAGGATGTTCACATATTGTCAAGAAAGTGCAGGGAGTACTTTCAATTACTTGGCACTTTTATCAAAGACCTTCCACAGGCTCGCAAGATAACGAGGTAGTCGTAGAGTAGTTTGGCTCTACACAGCTCTACTTTTGTCTACAATGTGCAGTAAGCGAGAGTTACACTCAACACTGTGAAGGACCATGTACCGGCCTGCATTTTAACATTAGGAGGCCTGTACATCTTGCTCCTAAGAAACTCTCAAAGCGGTGCATAAATTACCTTTCACTGAAAACTAGATAACTGAGGTCCTGTCCCAAAAAAATTCTCCACAACTAAAGTGATATAGACACCCACTATTAGAATGCCGACGTAAGAATGTTTGAAAGGTACCGCGTTTTACAATAATACTTGCGAGAAGTGATAGATATATAATGCTGATAACGGGACAGAGGACCTCGCAAAGCTTGTAATGTTCCTGATTATAGCTTACACGCAGGACAAATGAAACTGCTATATTAGCAGAATTTGACAAAACCACACGCGGAGTTTTAAGTCGATTACCAATTGTCTATGTACTGTGCCAAACTGCACCACCACAATGCCACCGTCACAGTAACTCGCACCACCAGCTGCACCTCAGTTTCCAACATTGCAGGAAGAGGCTGTAAGATTCGTTTGATGAGACATGTCCCCCCTATTAACAGAAACAATGCTTCCACAAAAATGGGTTCTGCTCTACTACATTTCACCATAACCTTGCAAAGGGCAAAAGTTGTAGCCCCTGGGAACCAACTGGAGCGACCCAGCGAAGGTCGCGACTTCTCTGCAGGGGAGGGGGCACACTTCAGTGGCACATTACAGCGTGCCTCATTCAGACACACCAATTTGCTCGGCGAGGCCATGGCAGTCGCCGTTTTCCGAGTCGTGCTGGAACGGAGTATAGAAGCACCTTGCAGCGTACTGGGAAGAAGCTCGCCCTCGCTAGTTGCTTGCACATAATGCAGCACAAAAGAATTCGCTACTGTTCTTTACAAAAACGGTTCTCAGACAGGCGCTCCAGACAACCGTGTAACAGGGCCCCTGCGGGCCAACATGTTCCCGTCAATACAATCAAACCAGTGTTCTCCAATAACTCGAAAACGAAAGGAGCAGTAATGCGGCAAGGAACAGCACAAACTCCGACGTGCCGGCTACGGCCCAGCACAACTAGCGCAACACGTGGTCAGCTCTACCCAGCAGGCACGAGAGCCCGTCGATACTTCAGCGTCGTCGTCTCAGTGGCCAAAAGACGGCAAAAGCGGCCACACCTGTTGAACAGGAGAAAGGCGCGCGTCCCTCGTGTCCGCGAGCAAAATAAGTCGACCGTCGGCTCCGCGAGCCCAGGCCGTCGGGATCGAGCGGCGACGTCAGCAAGATCGGGCAGTAGAACGGTGAACCGAAGACCCCAGAAACAAACGAGAAAACGGACAGGGACAAGGGAAAGCGTCGAAGGGGGGCCTCAGTTGGACGCCGTCTCGAGACGCAACTCCTCGAAGGAAGACGTGGTGCTGCTGCGGGATCCCCGCTCATGGTCGCTCTCCTCGGGAGCCCCGGTGGAGGCCCCGTTGTTGGAGGACGAGGCCTGAGAGTGGGCGGCGGGAGACGGAGAGGCATTGCCCTCGTCGTCCTCCTCGTCTTCGGGGTCCTCGGAGGCGGTCGTGGTGCCCGAGGTGGCGCCCTCATCGAACTCCTCCGAGGTTTCCTCGACGTAGAACTCGTCTTGCTTGGCCAGGGGGCAGACAAACACGACTCGGTCCCCTTCGTAGATCTCGATCAGGGGCCGGGCGCAGAGCAGCTTCTCCTGCGCGGGACGTGACGGAAGACGTCAGTGCGGTGTCGCAATCCAGATATTACCGTGCCTAAAACGCGTCTCTGACTGGTTCCAGGCACCATACCAATACTGGGGCGACGAGAAGACGAGGACAGACACGCGGAGGGACATTGTGTGCTTTTAGAGACTACCTCCACGCTCACTGACCATCGTGTCTTCGTCTTCCCCTATTGAACGTCCAAAAGATTGCACGTCACCTTTGAATTTCATGCGTTTCTTTGTTGTCGTAGAAATATCTTAATTTATACGTTCGGGGACAGATAATGCATCTCTCCAGGTGCTCTCGAGGCAAATAAAAATGGCGCAAGTCTTAAAAAAAGTTTAAAAAGTTGATTTCTTTCTAATGTTACGTCGGTTTGCCACTTGGTAGGTAGACGAGCACGATGGCAGCAAACACAAATGCTGCCCACTGGTTGCCTTTGTTTGCTTCGGTTACTTGACCTATAAAACTGAGTCAGTGATATTCACGCCCAATGCTAGCTACTACACTGGAACGTATCTTTCATGAGCATGGCTTTACGGCCATTTTACCTGACAGCGGCATTACTACTCTCAAAGGTGGCTCACACATGAAAACGAGTGCATTCTTTGCGCTAAATCTTACTTTTAATATATAGGGTGTCCCCAGCCACCAGGCTCTATCTAAAATTCCTTCAATAAATCTGAGCTACTCTTCCTGGTCCTGTCGCATGACAATGCAGATAGAGCAATGCTGGACACGAGTAGGTTTTCGAGGTACAAAACGGTTACCCTAGAAGGAGATCGAGCAGACTTTGGAACACGGCCTTCATTCTCCTTAGTGGGTAGTGGACGTCGGACATCTAAGCTGCAAGATCTTCGTTCATTGTACGTTGTCTGCTAGTTGTTAGCCGACAAAACAATGTACAGTTGCAGCCCACATAAAGGTAAACACGTGATTGTGAACTGCTCTGCACTAGCGGCGTCGTGAAGTGGTGGTGCATGTGTGTTTTACAAACAAAGCGTAGCAAGATGCGGAAACCATCGCAGCCAGAATTCCACCATGCTACCCAAAGCGGTCGACAATCTCGTGTTCACCTTTACAGTGAAACCCGTTTAGAACGAACCCACGTACAGCGAATTATTGTCAATATCGAACTCACAGAAAATTTAAACACAATTGCATGCAAAAAGTACTTTTTATAAAGAACAACATATTGGCTATATGAAACATTTTTCCCCCCCGGGAAGGTTTTCAAAAACGCGCAAACAATCACCTTCTAGCCCTTCCTTCCCCGCCCCGCCCCCGCCCGCCCGCCCGCCCCCCCCCTCCCCCTCAAGCGATTCAGAAGGAGAGAAAGCTAAAAATGACACTCTGCACGCACACACAGAAAAAAGAAAAACACCTTTTCATCTCAAAATGGTTGCTTACGAAGAGAAGCGATTCAAAAGGGGAGATACGCTAAAAACAAACTGCATGCATGCAAAAAAAAAGAAAAAAGTCTCCAGCGCGTTCTTACAAGGCGGAAGCGAAGAGATGAGAAAGAAAGAGAAGCTCTCGCCGTACAACGAATGCATCATGGAAGTTTGTTGTAAATGGTTTTTGCTATATCGAATTACTTGCTATATCGAACTGATCGTAACGGTTCCTGTTGTTCGTTATAAACTGGTTTGACTGTATATGGATCGTGACTATGCCCACTGTTGCAACTCGCAGATGACTCGGCAGTTCCCGACACCACAGCAATCCCAGTGCAAGTTACAGATGAACTTTGCCCGACTCTGTGTCTACCCACTGTTATCCTCCAATGAGAATTCAGCACTCGGAAGTTCAGTCTCTGTGTCTACCCACTACAGGATGTTTTCACCGACGTAATTTCATACAGTAATTTGTTGTTATGAACTGCATGGTGCATGTTGAAGGCGAGCATTCTGGAGATTCTCGTGACACCCACAAAAACACAGTGCACCAAAGCCCACAAGTTTTATGAGGATGACATCTAACAAAAAAGAGGCTCTGAAACGTCGGAACTTTCAGCGCGAGAAGCAGACATACTTGTCTCCCGTAAAAACTGTTTCTACACGGGCATCGCTGCCTTTAATCGTGGAACTTCCGGCATGCGGAAAAAAATTGTTTTGCTCTCGCCACACCACCGGAAGGTGATCCACGTTTTTATCCCGGCTGTTGCCGATCACTCTTTCGCTTCTTCTATACCTTTTTACCTTGTTCCTGGCTGCAACGTCTCACTTTTTTATTTTTTTTTATTTTCATCTTTGATACCGGATATGTGAACTACATGGCTGGGGGCAAGGCCAAACAAGAATGGTCTACATCCGAGACGAGGAGAACATGGCGAAACGCCGTGTAGCTTGAGGAAGGAAGCTCACCTTAATGTACTCTCGGAGCTTGGGGTAGACTCTGGCCATCGCGATCATGACGGACACGGAACCGCGGAAGGGGAACACTGTGGTGACTGCGTGGTCGACTGCGGGGAAGCTGGCAGTCTTGTAGCCTTCCGACTCCAGCTGCTGCTTCGCCTCCTTGGTTGCCGGCCTCTCCGTGTCATTGAGGACCACGCCTACCAGGTACCGCAGGTGCAACGTCTCTACCTGAAGGGACGAGAAATGGACAGTCTAATGGCTGGCTTGCGCACTTGCGACTGCTTAAGACCGAGTGGCTAAAACCTTTTGGGACCTCTCCCAACGAGAGGACACACCGACGCCACCTTTTGGGGTAGCTGTGGAACGCTCGGTATTTTTGTATATTTCTTATTCTCTTGCCGGTAACCGAGCTTGTTAGTGCACTGCTGCTTGGAGAATGTGGTGCGAAAGTTTGTGCTGCAGAACCCAGGGATCTCGGGTAAGAACCCCACCTCTGCCCATTTCCATCTGGATGAGCCTCGTACGAACGTGCGGTCTTGTACTACTGCGTCTTGCACGTTAAAGACCCCAGGCTAGCAGTGGTACTGCCACTGGCTAAATTTCTTGTCTACAGCCGAGACACCGGACGTCCATTGAGGCTGACCAACTCCTGGCTGCTTACATGCATGTACAACACTATTTTTAAATTCTTTTTGTATACAATATTTTTGAGCTTGGTTTGAAAAGCTTTGACAATGTTATGATTCCATGTTTTGGGGATTTATTTTTTAGCGAATCGGGAGATGTTATGATTGGCTTGAAAAGCTTTTGGCAACATAATAAATAGTATTCCGTGTTTTCGGAATTTATATTTCGGTGAACCGGGGGGACATGAGCCTTGATATACCCCAAAACACTGGGGGTGTGTTGGGGCTCATGTTGGAAAAGACAGGGCATGTACATGGAATCACCAAACTTCCAGCGAATGTATGCGTTACACGAACACTTGGCAAACACCCCCTGCCCTGCCCACGACAGAAGAAAACAAAATAAGGCGTGTGGTTCCAAAGAAGCAACCTTGCAGACGGTTCAGTGCTGGCTGTGTTCAGGCTCTACAGAAAATAAGGCCGTAGATAAAGACCTCTTCCCCCAAAACTCAGGTTTTTTTCCTTCAAGGACAGCTCTGATTCGGGGTTTTCGGTTTTCCCCGATTTTGAGAAAACCAGCTCAGGGTCAACTTTCAGGGTTCATCCGTATTTACCGAAAACACGGAACCTCAATAATAAACAGCCTCTCTCATAGATGGCGTGTACATTTGAACTTACAAATACCGCAAGACCTTCACTCTAGGGAAAGTGCAGTTCCGAGGTCTCCAGCCTTAGGCGAGGGTCTTTAACTTCAACCGGTGCCATGGCTCTAACTGCAAGGACGCCGGGTGCTATGGGCCCCATGGTGACCGTTTTTGTCTTGTGCCGACATTCAAAAGTATTGTAAACCCTTCTGCCCTCGCAGTCCCAGCCCTTTCACAAATCACAGGCCTTGGAGTATGCTAGCGAAAGTGCCATATCTGTTTTTGTGGCAAACTATTTTGCCTACCATTGTGCTTTTGGCAAATCAACCATTCACCAATTAAAAGAAAAGAAAAGAAAAAGAATGCGTGCAAGAATTTAGGGCATTTCGGCAGCTATTTTCTAATTACGGGCACTATATACTGGCACCTATACTTTCAATAGCACTGCACACAACTTGTGACACTGTCGCGTCTCGGGCTACGAACTGTCATTCTTACCGATAAACCGGTGTTATTGAATAGGTGCACCAAGTAGGGCTTTATAATGTTATGAGGTCTGCTTAGTGTTTTAGGTTAGTATGCCACAATGTGCATGTGTTTGTATCTGTATATATATTTAAAAAAAGGAAAAAAAAAAGCTGGTGTTAGTGTATTGTGCTATGCATTGAGCTCAGCTGATGTACCAACAAACACATTTCCCTGAAATGTTGCCCCTTGACAGTTTTGTACCTGACATTGCAAGCAAAAGAATATCGTAAAGAGCTGTTTCGAACGGCAATCGCTGGAAGGTTCGGGAATACTGCACGATGGCAGAACAGTTGAAGTTTTAGAAATATATGTTGTGACTGCCTGGAGCTGTGAGAGATTTTCCAGCTAAATGAAGGAAGAAATATAAAAGATAGAGAGAGACAAGGAACATACCCATGCACTCTGCTGCATACCAGCAGAGTGCATGTTTATGTTCCTTGTCTGCATCTCATATATTTCTTCCTTCGTTCAGCTGGAAAATCACACAATTTCAGAAATAATTCTATAAATGCCTATCAAGAAAACGAAGCATTGCGTGTGGCACTTGACATTTTAAAAACAATGTTTTTTGCTTTGTTCGTTCTTTTTGCGCCAGCCATTGGGCAGAAATTCTAAATGATAAAAAAAATTCCATTGTTTTTTTTTTGTTTTTTTTTAATACTAAAGGAATTTTGTTACCAAATGCGAACGCAAGCTACATTTCACACGCACAAAAGCCGTGAGCGAGCACAATCAGACATTTTGCTTTATCTCTCTGCTTTCCTTATCTTTCATTTTGAGGAGCTGGACAGCTGAGCGGTTTATATCAAAACTGCTCCCCTGAAAGACACATGAAAAACAAATCTGTATAATGGGTGGGGACAAAAGCGGAAAGGAACAAAGCCATCAAACTTGTTACCCACGATCTGCTAAAAAGTTTTTTTTACTTGCATATCCAAAAGATTCTTTTTCTTTTTTTTTCTGCCACGAGTATTCGGTCTTTGTGTGCGATAACGAATCAGGTTCGTACAAGCCAAGTCGGCGATAACAAGAGCAAAAGATGTTTACCGACTTTTAAATGCAGCGCAGCTTTCAAGGTTTTCACCCGTTATCGCCAGAAATAAACGTAAAAAAAAGGAAGATAATAAAACGCGGCAGTAACATTTTGGCAAGCCGCGCCGAAATCGGATTATTTTCGATGCTTTCCGTGGAACACGCAGCAAAAAAATGGTGACCAAAAACTGCGCGTCAGCATTGCCAAGACTGCAGACCTTGCTTCCTGACCGGTCTCTTGAGAATCACGCGATAAGGAACACGAACGTATCCGAGAGTGACAGCCATGAGTCACCTCAGTATACACATAAACAAAGGAAAGATGCGGACAAGACAAACAAAGAAAACGTTCCCTTCCAGTCGAGGCGACTGAGGGTAGCTAAAGTTTCCGCCTAGGGAACAGCTTCTGCCCACGACCGTCACCAAAACTGAGGCGATTCCTCGTTTACAAAGATCTCAACGAATCCCTCAAGAGCACTCTTACCTCGTTCGGGTCGTCATAGTAGACTCCGATGCATTTTAGCGAGGGTGCGATGCTATGAACTTCGGTGAAATGGGCACCGGAGTTCTTGTAGGATCCGCGGCAGAACTTGTACGCCACTTCGAGGTCCTTGAAGGGTGGCTTCTCGGCCTTAATGTCTATTGGCGCGAAGAGACCGCAGTACCCGAGAAAAGCGAGGATGCTCAGCAAAAGTAGAATTAAAACGACAATGATGCCGAGGAGCAGGGCAACATCAGTCTCCATCTTGAGCAGACGTTACCGGAAGTGGAGGAGAACTTCGCTTCCGTGTGACGACCGCCTGCGTCGTTTGGTAGTTCGGCCGCTGTTGTCGCGAACGTCGCTGCCGTCGCATCCGTCGCAGTTTCGGTTTCGGAAGACGTTGTGAAGCGGGAGATAAACGAGGAAAGGGAAAGGAAGGAGATCTGCAGCACAGTAGTTAACTTATTCAAAAGTTACAACCGATTTTCTTAAATCTTAAATGGGAAAATGGCTGCCGATCGACCTCTTATAATACATGCCCAGCTGAATGGCGCCGCTTACCGAAAACGGGCAAAAACGGGCCCCATTTTCTGATTGAAATTTTCAGAAAATCACCTATAAATTTTGACTGAGAAAAGAGTTAGTTCTGAAACTTTGACATCTGGTTCGAACCATTAGGGCTACATTTGGGCGGACAATGAGCGGGGAAAATAATAAAAAATAAAACGGGAAAACGTAAAGCAGTAACGAGCAAGTATGCACCTAACTACTGGGAATAAAGTGAACCTAGACAAAAGGTTCACCTAATGCACACCTGGACTACCGTTGTGAAACACGCGACCCTACGCGACGGATCGCAACACACCAACGCAATAATTAAATACGAACCAGAAAAGTCCAAACCATGTATGCTCAACACTGTTCAGACCGCGGGACGCTCGCTACGAGATGTTTCGGTGGCGCCTTATCATGGTTTCCGTTCGTGAAGTCACGACCAGGATTTGCCTCGCTGTGATTGGCAGGATCCACCTCGCCGTGAACCGGCGATTGGGCAGGAATTATTTGTGTACAGGAAACTGTGGATTGTCCAATCGCGAATGCCGATCACAGCGACGCTTGTTGTCGCGAACGTCTCTATATACTGTCGAGATTGGTTATAACGAAGTCGGTTATAACGAAATAGTGGATATAGCGAAGTGATTTCCGATTCCCGTCGACTTCGTTATAACTGGTCTCAACAGCATACTATAAAGAAGTCCGACCACAGCCGGCGCTACAACAGTTTGAGCTAATCAAGCAGTGCCAAAAAGCGTATCTTCACGGAGTCTGTCTTCATTGCTCGTTTGCCATTCCAGGTTAAACCAATCGCGCACAGAGAAGGATCACGGCGCATTCATTGTGCGTGATTGTTTCAGCCGGTGATAGCACAAAGAAAACGAGCGCCGTGACGACGCGAGCAGTCGTACTGCGCTTGCTCTATACGGCTTGGCACGAGACGCCCATTGAGGCCGCTGATAACTTCCCGCCGTCTAAACAAATGCGCAACACCTAAAAAAAAAAAAAAAAAAAAAAGAGATTGAGTCAGTTGTCCCTTCCACTTTCCTCTTGTGCGCCTTTTCCTAATGCACGCACGGAAGATTTTCTTTTCTTTTTTATAGTTGTACCAACGCGGTATGCGAAAACGAGCAAACCTCCCCTCTGGTGTCCTTCGTGTCAAAATCAGCGTGGAGAAGAGGTTACGAAACGGTTCCTGCTCGGAGGTCACTGTGAGCCAGCGCGGTCGACGAAACAACAAACTGCGCGCAAAATAATTTTATTTGTTTGTAATTAGCGAAAGATGTTTTGAGGGGGTGCCCTCAGACAAGCTAGGGGAGGGGGGGAGGGGGGGGGGGGAGTACAACCTCCCTAGTAGGTGGGTAGGGAAATCACTGCTTGCACTGCACGAGCGCGCGTGCTTGGCAGGGAAGTTAACGGACGCTGATAGCCCGCGGGGCTCGTGCTTGCTGCTTCGGGACTTAATGCATTTGAGAAAAAACAAACAAACAAAACAAAAAGCACTTGAATTGCGTTTATTCGGCCTTTAGAATAACAGATATCACAGTTATGTTTCAATGCGACGCGCCGGAGAGCCATGAGAGCAATTTCAAAATAGGGCTGATGCCCCGCCTCCCTAGCCTTGGGCAGTCAAACCAAAAAAATTCGTAGATGACGTCACGTACAGCGAGTGTCTTTTGCGTTTTCACGCGTTTCACAATACTTGAGCAGCAAATGGTTTGGGTATTCGGGTTCGCGGAGTAAAAATACACTAGAATTCACCTCTAACTCATTTTTTTGCTAGAACCTCCGTAGCTTCCCTTTAAAGGGGAGGGGACCTGCAACAACTTTTTTTTTACTGTTTTTTTTTTTTTTAGTTTGCACCGAACCTGAGCTCACTGAATGTAGTAACTCAGTGAAACTTTTCTTTTCTCAAAATTCGCTTTATTTTAGAAGTTGTAGGCACATAAAAATTACAAAAAACAACAACAACAACAAAAAATAACCTCCTTCTTGACCAGGGGTTACTCCAGGAATTGAAATAAGGGGGCATGTCTAAATTTTTAAAGGGGGGCGGGAGGGGGGGCATTTAAGAATAGAGGAGTCGTTGGGGGTGCCTACAAAAAATACAAGAGGGGGGCGGGGCGTGTACTTCCCCCCCCCCCCCCCCCCCCTCCCCGAGTGGGTGTGTAGAGAAATTACTGTTCATGACGTCCCTGGTCTTGGCTTGGGTGGCAGCCTAACCGGATCTGCCCCCCTTGTCCCTTGCCGGAGAATTCCCCTTGCCCTCGGACACCGGTTGCCCTGGTAACTGGGGAATGTTGGGAGAGGAGGGGGAGACGGGGAAAGGACGTGAGGCCGAGAGAGAGAGAGAGGTGCAGCTCTCTCTCCTCGGCCTGACCAGGACCCCAGGACCAACTAACATCCTACGATATTTCTTCTTTTATTCCGGTTAAAATATGACGCACTGATATTTAGTTACTCTCTCCGTGCCCGCTGGTTTGCCCGAACCACAAGAGAGACGTGGAAACCGCAAAAAGGTAGACGCTTAAATATTATTTCAGGGCCCCTTGAAACTATAACAGACCAGCGACTATGGAACTATTCGGGAAAGGGAGCCGGAGCCGAGAGTGCCGGATTCAAAGCTGCACTTCGCGAATATTTTTTGGATTTTGGTTGACAGTGTTTTGTTTTAACAATGTTCTGTTTTTGGATTTTTATGCTTACCTGCCTAATTACTGTTTGTCTTTGTGTGCAATTAGATATGTGTGTCCACTCCCCTCTATAATGCCTTCGGGCCCCGAGGGAATGAATAAATAAATAAATAAATAAATAAATAAATAGGAGCATCGAAGAGAGACTGGTGACTGCGTTTCATTGGAGTTCCCTCCAGTGGTGCGTTGTTATGTGATTCGCTGCGCTGCTCACATTGCCTCACATAATCTGCAGCTTTTTGTGCTTGCTAAGTTACGAAAGAACTGAGTCCCATGTAGCGTGCCGCTGGCGCCTGCCAACAACAGGAGTTGCAGCTCTGTTCTGACGTCGGCACGGCATCGACAGCGTCTGTTCGCGCGTAAAATCACGTTTGAGGCCGCGATTTGGTTTGCTTACGATTAAAGTCTCGATGTCGCTGAAGCCGACATGGATTACGCTCACCAGAGGTATCTTCCCAATCCGAGTCAGCAGTGAGCTCCAAGTGCATATATGGCGCGCGTTTTAACTTGGCAAGCGCCTAAAGCTATAGCCTCCCTGACAAGCCAGTAAGAACGTCGAAGCGACGCGGGTGAAAGCGGCCTATACTGAAATTCTTTCCTGTGATACGTTCCGATCTGCGGTGCTCGTATAGGATCACCGGACCTGTAGCTTGCACTGTCTGCTGTACGGCGCTCAAGAGACAACGAGGAAGAATAAATGAACAGACCGTGAGCGTTGTTCGTTTCTTGTCGTTTGTTGCGCCTTGGTGCTGCTCCGCTTTAAAGTCCCCTCCAACCGGCTCTCCTGACTTATTCAAACAATGGGTACAGACGTCATTGTCAAAAGCCCGCCGTTAGCTGTTCTTGTTTTATACCATATGTAGAGGCTCGGCCATCCTATCTAAACGTTTATTATTCACGAACTACGTGCAGGAAAAATAAATGGCAAAACAAAAGTGAGACAAAAAAGAGACGTTTTTTTTTTTTTTTGAAGCGTGCTAACTTTTGTACGCTTTAAGCAACATATTTTAAACATTTTTATAGAAATGTTTAAAACCTTCTATAACTTATTTTTAATAAAAAAATACAATTTATGTTGTTTGGAACACAATGACATATGTCTTAACTGGCATCTAACTAAACAAAAAAAATAAAAAAAAACCAAAAAACAAAGAAACGAGGTGTCGGGCAAGATTGTTTTTTATGGCATGTTTGGGACTTTCGTGTTACAAGATTGTAGTTATAAATAATTAACAGTATTTAAATATTGTTTGACGAGAATGTACATAGATGACGTTAAGAGCCTATTGATGGTTCGTCGCAAATAGTTCGCCATCGAGAGCGATTCAACTATACGTCATCGACGACGATCATCAAAACCCTGCCGTCCTTGCCGGTTCCTTTGGGATTTGATTTCTTTTAAACTGAACATGTCTAAGCGTTTATTTCCCAAGGCATACGCCACAACATATACAATTATAAAAAAAAAAGAAAAAGAAGTGTCGATGTAAATTAAAGGGACGGTGCAACAATTTTTTTTTTTTTTACTTTCAATGAGTACAGCTTAGAATTATTCCTTGACATTTATGACCTATAAAACGCGCGTTTTTTTTTGTTTTTTTTTTTCTCTACGCAATAATAGCCGCAGAAACAATCCGAGAAAAACCGAACACCGTTTCTTCCCTCAACCCGCAGTCAGAAAAATCGGTCACGTGATATAAAGCCGATTATATGCCGCCAATGTTTTTTTTTAACATAGCCACGCGTTGGGGTTGGCAGAGCACAGGACGTGCGCTGCGTTCCACGCATTGTTAAGGTTCGGCCATTCCCGCCATCCCTGCGATTTGGCGCGAACCACAACCCGAATGCATGTCGAGGCATCGATTAAATCGAATGCCTACGCAGTCTTCGTAATCCACTGTATGAACAACATTTAAATTTCGCTACAGCGGGGTTCGCATAACTTGATGACGCACTCCTGGGCACCGCACTGTTGTCATTGTGACGCTTTGCATTGCGTAATATCACAGCGCAGGCTTCATTTTGAGGTCTAAACAGGTGTTCCGCCTCATCATTCGCTGAGCTGATTTCGTAGATCGCAGAGATTGGCTCTTTGAGTGTTGTGCGGGTAAGTAGACGCGCAGGCATTTCTTAGAGTGTACTTTTGTGGGATTTAGACGTTTCTTTTTAGTTTTTACTACCAATTTTCGAAATACGCGGAACTGTGGGTAATGAATAAATTATCTCGTATTTTCGATCACTTGCGACCAAAAAAAACACGGGAGGAAATCAACGGAGTGCACTTCACATGGTTTACTTCACGTTGCACTCTACTCCTCTCTGACTTCGAGCTCTATAGCTGTTTTGATTTTGAATTTCCATGCGTGTGGGATTGATAATGTTCAACGCGGTTTCCTCGTTAGTGAAATAAACACCGACTTATTAGGGCGTAGAACTTAAAAAGCACATTTTAAGGATTAGGAAAACAATTTGATTATGTTAATAGCGCTTCATGTCAAAGTATGCGACGGTACAGAGAAAGTGAAGTTGAGTGTATTGAGCAACTGAGCGTCGCCGGTTACGTCTGTGACGCAAAGACTAGAGAGAGATTATCGTTTACTTATTTCTTGACAATAGAGAGTTTTAGTAGATCGTTCCGATACCTCCGATAGCCCCGATAACGATACTATGCATGCTCAAGGGAGGCGGTGGCGGAGTATCGGGTATCGTTATCGGAGGTATCGGAACGATCTACTAAAACTCTCTAATATTGCAGTAAATATCGTTCTATTTCATCACCGGCGATTCTTATTTCTTATTAAGGTTCCAGTTTTTTTTACATTTCCAATTTACGGTTTTTTAACTGCATAACAGCTTTTAAAATCATATAGTCTGATTAAGAGCCCCGACAATAGACACGTGCAATGTTTAAAATAAAATGTGTTTCAATTGCTCAAACGCCTATTTTGTTTTTGTTTTTCTGTATGTAGACAAGATACCGCCGCGTGAACGCGAAAAAGAAAGTAAAATTGAACAACATAATAAGCGAAGTACAGGCATGCGTATGGATCATGTGTGTAGGGGCGCCCTAGCCCGCGGCCATAGCTATACAACGGCTTCACGCGATACCACCTAGAAGACAAAGCCTGCGCATGACGTCATCGTTAGTGGACCCCGAACCCCCCACCCCCCACCCCCCCAGCCAGAGCGGCTGATGCGCGCATCTTGGCGTCTCCGTGTGCTAACGTCGCGCTCGCTGTGAGGCGCTGCTAGACGCACTCTCGCAGCGCTCTCGTCGCTGGGTGAATACACTGGTGATGACGTTTGGGGGGAAAGACGCAGGCCTTATTGTCCTCTAGGCATTGCTTTAGGTGCACTTCCCTAAAGCCAAAAACATATACGGGAAATTCAGAACCAATGTAGCGAGAACTCTCCAGAAAACAAAAGCCTATCTCGCTCTTTCTTCTTTTTTTCTTTAATCACATGTGGGAGGGCGTGTTCTCCTCGTATGTTATTCAGAAAGAGGAAGCCAAGTAATAGTACATGATTCATTTTCTCGGAGGCGCTCAAGTATGCCAATCGAGAGGGCATGACCACAGAGCCACTAAACCCTATCGAAAAAACGAGCCCAAGCTGATCCCAGCAAGGAAAAAGAAAAAGGAAGACGACTACCCGACGGACAGCAAGGGCGGACGTGTTCGGAAGAGCTCCGCAAGACCCGGGGGACGATCTCGGCTGCGCTCCGAAACCGACCCTACCCGTAACCGGCTACGCTCCGAGATTCGGTCGTCGCTACGGACCAGACATCGTCCAGGACAGGACCCATCGTGGCACCGTCCGATCAAAAGCTCGAGCGACGTCGCGACTGAATAAAGAATGGCCGCTCCTTGGCGTTTTGGGGGAGGAAGAGCTACAACCAAGCTTTTACACGGTCTCGTCCCCCGGCGACGCTGAGGAGCAGCGCGTCAACCGGTGTCCTCTAAGTTTGACCTCTGATGTTCAGAAGACTATGCCTGAGAGTGGCAGCCGTCTACCAAGACTGGGCCACATCCTGGAGCATGGTAACACCACCAATCTGCCGGGGCTTCCCAGCCCCTACGCTCGGGGAAGCCACCAAACACCACTCTGGAGGGCTTGCCCGGACACTTCCCCGGGTTCAGCCAGACTGAGACCAGTTGAAAGAGAAACGTCCCAGCGAGCAACTCACTAAACAACATTGGACCCACATCAGCCGTAACATCATCCCGCTACCCTCGCCGATAAGCTCCATTTCAACATCGTCAGCACCTCTCTGTCATCTGTACACAATCTCATCCCATCGTCATCAGAAGCGGCGCCGCATGCCTTCCTGGCATGAGCCACTGGCCTTTCTGCGGCGCCGCGGTTCTCCTGAACCAAAATAAATATTATTGTTATTATTATTATTACCGCGAGTGACGACAAGAAAAAACGTCAACCTTCTATCTGTCATTTAGAGTTAATACACTTGATCCAGTATCTCGTGCGGAACTCCTTTATAATAACTCTTCTCTTAATCTCGATATATTTCTTGACAACTTTTCCGATTTTGTTAAATCTGTGCGGAAGCTCTTTTGTGACTTTTGATGAACTTCCTGAATCAACTGCCGGGTTTCCATATGTATTTCTATGACTTGTTGATTTCTTGTTTCTATTTGTACGGAGCTGTATGTGTAGTGTTCAGACGTTCGCGTCTGTTTGCGTCCAAGTGAAGCATCCATATGCATTGGAACAATTTTTTTCGTGTCTTCATTTCTCTGTGCAATTTTTGTGCACTTTTTTGTTTTGTGTTTCTGTACAATTTTATGTACACAGTTTTCGCGTCTTCTTTTTTTGTAGAATTTTATGTAATACTGTCTTCCGTGGTTTTTTCTTTTCTGTTTTTTTTTTCTTTCCCTTTTTTTTTGTGTGTGTGTGTGTGTCTTTCTTCTTTTTTTACGTGCGCCAGCACCAAAACCGCAAGGTTGTTCCTGGGCACAAATAAAAACTATTCTTGATTCTTGATTCTTGATTCTTGATCCCAGTTTCATGCTAAGTTATTGGCTTATTGCTCCAGCATGCCCAGCTTGCCGTGCTGGTCAAGCTGGTTGGATGCCGGATCGTGCTGGGTGGATGCTGGGTAAATGCTGGGTGAGATTGATTGATTGAAATCTTGTCTTTATTGATGAGAAAGGTTCGCCTGCCTATGGTCTGGTGAACCTGGGGCAGGAGGGAGGGGGTTATGCTGGGTGAATTCCGGTACAGGCTGCGCTTCAGTGCAAGGACACAGTAACAGGCCTAACGGCCCTTCAGCCATTTGTGTGATTCAAATCATGGTTGACAGTTACGGTGGTTATGGCACGAGGTTCACCGTCACGCGGGACGCCTTTCTCGCGCTGAACGCTGGCCCCCGTGACCGCGTGGCGCCGCGCCTGGAGCACGTTGGGCGCCTGGTCTCGGACGGAACGACGGCAGGCTACATTCTTTAGTACTCCCGTTGAGCTCCCAAGCAAGCATGGCGCACCAAAGGCCGCAGCCCAAAAGCCGCTTTTCCGATCCACCGCAAACTTCGCGCCCACCGCCTTCCACGGCAGACCGGGCCGAATCCCACGGGGACCCCATGCCGCCAGCCTACTATCCGTTCGCCTACTATATGCCAGTCATGCCTCCCGTAGGCCCTTCGGCTGTCCCGGATCCAGGTGACTCGCACAGGTCTTCGCCGAGTCCACAAGCGATGCCTGTGCTGCCGCCCTTCCTCAAATCGCAGCTGGCCCCAGCTCCCCACTTCCCACCGGCTCATTACCTCTCTGGTTACAGAGGTTTCCCCGTCTACCAGTCACATCCGACGCCACTGTACATGGGCTACGAGACTGTCTTTCCGCAGCCGATGAATCCGGCAGTCGCCGAGCTCCTAGAACGAGCTGCCATAGCCGCTACTGCCGAAGAGAGAGAAAAGGGGAAGAAGAGGGACACGGCCGAGGAACGCTTTGGCTTTTGTCGCACGGCGTTCTTCATGACAACCCTGCTTATGGCGCTGTTCGTAGGGGCCACGTTCTCTTATTATATGGTTAGTGCCGAGCTGGCGGAACGAGACCTAACTCGGTTGGGTAATTTGTCGGATCACGTGATCCCACCCGGTTTCAGGAAAAGAACTGCGGTCATACCGGTGGTCAAGACACCGACCACTTCAGGTAGGCTACAAACGAAGTCGTCGCCCGTGTTGAGCTTCTACCTACATCCGCGGCGGAAGGATAGCTTGGATGAGCCGTCCCGGACAACAATGAGATCTCGTGCAAGGGCCCAGCGCTGCCAAACCAAGCTTTGTGACTACATGACGGACCGCTTCAAAGCGAGTCTCAACTGGAGTATCTCTCCCTGCGAAGATTTCTACGACTTCGTCTGCTCTTCGTGGAGGACGAAACGCGGTGCTTCTCTCTCACAAGACGCTCTGTATTCTGAGCAGGTCGAGGTACGACTGAAGAGGCTGGTTTTTGATCCCGAAACGAACAACACGACGGACAATTTCCCATACGCTAGACAGCTCCTGGATATGTGCGTGAAGGACGATAACACTACTGACAGTGAAAAATACAAAAATCAATCGACATATCTTCGCCGGTTCCTTGCCCAGTTGGGGCTCGAAAACTGGCCGTACCAGAACGAGTCTGCCAGTCGAGTTGACATGTGGAGAACCAACGTGCTCATGCACCGACATCTGGGAATTTTTCCACTGCTGGCGGTGACAGTCGAGAAAGATCCTGACAATGAAACAAACAAATTGATTGCGATCGACGAACCCGATTTGCTGATCGGTCTCTTTGGAACCAGAGACATTTTCCTTCCAAACTGGTACTTCATAGTGGTACGTGCCGCCATGAAGCTCTTCAGCCCCTATAAATACCTCACTTATTCGGACAAGGTCCTCTCATTTTCGGAAAAGTTGGCTGAAATAACGAGCACGCGTGGACAGCGAAACTACGCGGGTGAAGCCAAGATTACCACCGTGCACAATTTGGCATCCTACGCCCAGTTTTTGGGATTGCTCTTTGATGACATAGCGACCTTGACAGACAAGACCAGAGTGCTTGTTAAGAACATGCGATACCTAAAGGCACTGAAGACACTTGTTCACGCGACGCAAAATCCCGACATACTGAACTATCTGGGTTTCAGGGCAGTGCTCCATGTCTCCCCGCTGTTGTTCGGAGAAGAGTTTGCCGAGCTGGCCACCGTTAGGATGCGTCAGCTGACGGGAGTTCGGCAACTGAGATGGCCACGCTGGAGGTCATGTTTGAGGACGATGGAAGACGCGATGGCTTTTGTCTACCAGCGGGAGTTTTTCAAGGCTATTGGCAAGAAAGTCAACACCGACCGAATCATCGCTCTCCTGAACGATCTCAAGAACAACCTCCTCCTCGCCGTCAGCAACTTCACGTGGATGAGCACTGAGGACAAGGTTCATTCCAAGAACCTTTTGGCCGACATCAAATTAGAAGTGTTTTACCCAACGTGGATTCAAGCCGAGAGTGACGACTTTTACGCGGCGTTACTGCCGACACCACGTAATGGTACGGATGCAAGTCTTCTCGAGGTCTACATGGACTTCACGCGCAAAGCTGCCGAACAGAAGCTTCTAAGTATCACCAGTCTCGAATCGCGGCCCCAGCACCAATGGAAAGGCTCTATTTTCGACACATACCCTGTGTTCGACTACGAGACACGGACGGTGTACGTTCCTCTAGCCATGTTTAACCTCAGCCTCCCCGACAACGACGCTGCGCTTTTATTACAGACGCCTCGGCTCTCTACACGAGTCATGGCGTCTCTCATTGCCAGTCTTCATCGGAACTCGTACCCGATACCGGAACAGCCGTGGCTCCTGCGCACCACAGAGGATCTAAAGACCGTCGAAGCTTGTCTGGAAGACCAGTACAAAGGCATGTCCAACACGATGCACGACGACAAAGTTCGCTCTCGCGTCACCAGAAAGCTCGACTTTCTCGACAATGCGGCCATAGAGCCTGCCCTGGCCCAGTTTCGCAAGTACGTAGTCGAGAGTGGAGTCGTGATGCAGCAGGACGCTTTGAATCTGCCGCTCAGCACCAGTCAGTTGTTCCACATATTGTACACCGCAGAACTCTGCGAGAGCGGGACCTCTGAGCAACTCAGACAAGAGCTGACCGAAGACGCCTTCACGCAACCGAAGCTAAGGGTCATCGTACCGCTGAGAAATATGCAGTCCTTCGCGAGAGCTTGGCACTGCAATCTCGAAGATCCCATGAACCCAGCTGATAAGTGCACGCTATGGAGCTGACCGCAGGGAACCCGTCGTGATCACCTGCCACTAAGGAAATTGCGGCGTTACGGTTTCGTTCATCTTAATAAACGTGCGCATTTTGTTTGTCGTTACGTCGGTCACTGCCGCGAGAAATACCAGGCCGACACTGCCGCAAGCGCTGCAGCAGCTGCGCCGGCTGCGCGCCGCAGACCCCAAAAACGAAACTTAATCAAAAACCCGCCGAACAGGTTGTCGTTCCCGCTCCAGCCACTAGATGTCCCTACTCGCCAAAACACGCTTCCGCCGCCGCGTCGAGGATGCTCTCGCTGCCCGGCTCCGTCGACTGTACCTCGCGATTTGAAAACGTCAAATTAAGAAATTAATCGCTTGTCGGTTGACCGAGCGAGAGTTGGGTGGCATGCGTGTGAGCAAGAAATCGCGCTTAAAAAGGCTTCGGCGACTGTAAGAAAGAAGAGATGGCCACGGTAGCCAGGTGAGTGTGCCTTCCATTCTGTCTCGCCGTCTGTCAAGACTGACCCTCCTCCGCTAGCCCTGTTTGCAAACAATCCTCGCTTGACCGGTTTAAACCTGGTTTGTGGGGCAGCAATGGCTGTTCAGGGGTTCCAGCTCGGCCAGCGAAGGGCCCCCGTCGTGCCCGACAATGGGTGGTATCCTGCGCAAGCGAGATATTTAATAGAGACGGCCGTCGTTTGGGTCGATGACATCATTACTACGAACACGGTCGCGAGCTCCATCACACGAATCTGCGCGCTCTGCAAAAAATGCGCGCTGCTATGCTGCTGATCAGTCGCCTCTTCGTTTTCTCCTAGTTACCCTTTGTTTTACTGATAAAACGACTATTGAAGGGGTGGCTCTGTTACTATAGAGCTGAATTTCTCATCCCCCGGTTAGTTAAAAACGACAATAATAACAAGAAAAGGCTGAATTTTTCTTTGTAAAATGTTGTATTTGCCTGTCACCTTCAGCTCCGGCTCGAAAGATGTTGTTCAAATCGCCCAAAAGTAAACAAAGAGAGAAAGGAAAAAGTAGGAGGCAGCTGCTCTCAAAAATAAAATTACGCTGCAGCGTCCCTTATTAACGACCAAAACACAGGAAAAAAAAAAAAAAAAACGATTGTGCGATTGTATGGTTTGGTGCATTGACAGAAGCGGCTCTTGCTGTATTTTTTTGTTTCCATGAAAGAAAAAAAAAAAAAGATATTGTCGTGATTCGAAGGCGGGAAAAATCGTACCATAGTAAAGCTGATCACTCCTTCGCCCTACCGATATGTAGTGTTCCGTAAATTGACGCAACTAAACCCGGAGCGAGAGAGGGAAGTAGGACCTTCGGTTATTAATAGAAGCAGAGGCTCTCGAACGGGGCTCCATCGGACAACATATAGTGACGGGCGGAGATCGATAAAGAATAGCGCCTTCCCTTGCTGTCGCGCGTGGCCCAGAAGGGAGCGTGTTTTGCCGAGTGGGGACATGCGAACCGCTTCCTTCTTCTGTTGTCTTCGCTCGGAGAGGTTTCTTCTATCTCTCTCTCTATCTCTCTCTCTCTCTAAGGAACACGAAGAGTTTCAGCAGTTTCAGTTGGGCTCGGGACACGAAACGTATACGAGGAGGCGTGCGTCCTTGGAATGCCGAGGCTACGACCTCAGTGGCTGCACATAATGCACGAATGCACACGTGCCTGGAAAACGCACACCACTCCGAGCGGTGGTGTACTACCTCGAGAAAAAGAATTACGCGTCGCTTTTTGTTTCGCTCGCGCGTTCGCGTGACTTGGGAACTATTTCCTCCGTTCTCCATGTTTTTTTGTTTTGTTTTTTTCCCTCTTCGTTTTGCTATCCTCCATTCTTGAGGCTATATGCGCGTACAAACCTCGCCTTTTTTGGGAACAATTTTTGTTTCCAGAAACGTACGTGAAAATGGTTAGAAAGATGTCAGCGTAAAATGGCGACATGACGAAGCGTAACATCTTGAACATGTTCTCGAATATTATGAACCATAAACTGCCTTTTGGTTTTCTTTCTAAAAAGTAAAATATAAAAACGGCGATGCATTGTGGCATGACCCTAGATGTTATGACTGGCAGGACCTGGTATATCGGATATCAGTGATGTATCGTCGCAGTAGCATAGGATTGCTTAAGCCACAACTAACTGTGCAAAAAACAACAAACAAACCAACAAACAGTTTGCTGTCTACGGAGGCAGCAGGTGGAAGTAATTGAGGTTTCTGGTGTGCCTTTGAAGAGGCACAACTCCGCTCCGTTTGTGCCGACAAAGATGCGCAGCCCGATCAGTTCATGCCTTCCGAGTCGATCACAGGCGGCTTTGGTCAAACACCGTTGAATCTTACCATCTATTACGATGCCAGAAGCCGTTACGTCCTATAATCAAGACTCGACGTTCGCCTCGAAATAAGTAAAGACAAAATCGAAGTTGTTGCACAGATGGACGTTTGGACAAGTTGATGTTACAACCCGGAAATGCATCGTGAGTGGTTGAAGGCCAGGGGAATCGAACTGCTGTCCTTTCTACCATGGTTGGCAGTCGGAACAGTTCAGCAGTCACAGGGCCCATGGGCCCTGACGACATTCGATGTTTTACAAGAAACCTGCATGCACAGTAATTTAATGTTTTCTGGGTGAGAGTAAGTAAACGCATTTCAAAACGTTCATCCAGATTTGTGGCGTAGTTTGATTTAAGCTTAAGTAACTTTTACGTAACGCCACAGCTTTTCAAGAAATGGGTCCTTCATTAGAGTACTAAGAACTTGATCCTGCAATAAAGTTCAACCGTACTTGGGTGAAGACAACTTAGTGATATTATAATAATAAACGCCCATCAGTTAATCAGATTTTCTTCGTCTATTTTGAACCAATGATTGAGCAAAGACGTACTCGGCGCCTACACGAATCGGAGTTGGTTAACTACCGCAAACCACAGACGGTTCAAATATACTGCGCGTGAGTTTATAATTGCATGGCTCCCAAGACGTTCTGAAGATACGATTCGCGTTAAGGTGCCCGGCTTGCGAAAAATCTTACCCAACTCAGCGCCCCAGCGCATATCGCATTTTTGGGTCAAGCTATTATCTGGGCCCATTGACTCGCCGGGGCGTCATTTCCCGCTGTAAAGGGGTCGCGTGGGCCTTTCATTTGTTTAATTTTCTCTTAAGCGCAACTGGAAACTTTCCCCTCTAACTCGAAGAACCTCAATCTTGTATTTTTCTTTTTCTGTTGGCGAGACTCCCGTGCAACGATTAAGGACAGTTCGTGCGTGCATCGCAGCTTTAAATCAATACTAGAAACAGAGCTCATGCAGCGCTGACTTGAGCATAAATTGGTACTGATGCTGTGCCATTAATATAGCGCGAAGTCGGCGCTGAATAAGCTAGGTCAGCACTATTTACAGCGCTGACTATTAGCGCTGAGGTAGCGCTGTGGTGTATGTGTGAACAGGTCTTTAGTGTCTGGCTGTAGCGCGTCCAGAGACTTTTCTTCGCAGTAAGGTATTGTAAGATAAAACGATGTTATTCCTCTTTCGATGAAAGATGCGCCCTTAATTATAAATAATATCCTCTTTTTTTCCTTGTCGTTGTAGATATTAGAATATGTGGCACGGAAACAAATGCGCTAGAACACTCTCTTTTTTTTTTGGGAGTAAAGTTGACATTTGGGCTAGTTGGTAGTCTAACATATTGAGGTATTTAGCGCACAACGTAGAGAGAAGAAGGACAGGACAGAAAAGAGCGCTACTCACAACTACGTTTACTGACAAGAACGGAAGAGAAAGAAAACACCCAAATAATCCGCCGCGGACTCGTGCATCTACCACAGCCCCTTGAATGATAGCGGCTATACTTCGTTTCAGCTTCGGTCCAGACGCAGCCGATGCTACAAGCGCGAGCATGTGGCCCAGAACAGTGCTTGCACTGCACGAGCGCGCGTGCTTGGCAGGGATGCTGAAAGCCCGGAGCTCGCGCTTGTAGCTTTGGCTGCGTCTGGACCGAAGCTGAAACGAAGTATCGTTCATCCAGGCTCGTGCGGGCCCTTCATTGTTCGTTCAAGGCATTCCCTTTCCTTGTTTGTTAGCGTTTTTTTGGCGGATCAACTGCGGGACGAAGAACCAGTTGGACGAAAAAAACGTATGTATCTTCCGTCTTTATTTGCATAGCGATTTAAAGACAGGGCGTTTATTTCGAACGTTTTTCCCGCATAAATCACCAGCGCAAATCGTCTGCTCAAGACTCGTTCCAGCGGTACGATTGGAACGATGCAAGGCGGGTTCAGCGGATGTGTATGGCACGGCGAAACTGGCAGCCGAGCCAGTGATTCACGCGTACACGCGGATGCCGCCTCGGAGATTTGCTTCCTGCTTGAGGCCCTATCGTATTTCACGCCATCTTATTCGCGCGTGCTTCTACGCGGCATTATTGTCGCGGGCCGACGACGCTTTTAGCCCGCCCGTGGTGTTGTTTTCACCACCAAAAACTGTCGATGACCCACAATATCGCGAACCATCGTGTCGTTGCCGTCCTCGGTGGTCATCATGGCACGTCGCGTCAACGCTGCCAGGTTTTTCTGTCACGAGCTGTCTTATCTGGAGCAACGAGCGCGAAAGGCACGATCGCCTGCTCTTTCCGAAAAAGCGGGACGTTCAAATACGCCCATCAGGGCCCTGGATTTGCCCGACTGTTTTACTCTAAAAGGAAGTGTCAAAACGCCGGAATGTCGGAACAGTTTCGAAGAGACGCGTGTTCGCGCTAACAGTGTTGAGATGTGTACATTTCATTTAGGGATCTAAATAACTTAGCATATAAAACTTGGTTCAGGAAAACGCTTGAGGTAGTACCACTAAATTCAATTTCGTGTTTTCATTTAGGTAGGAAGGCGCGTGGGAAATTTCGTAAGTTATAATTATTGATTCGATTCGAGAGAAAGAAAAAAATATTCAATTCGATTTTGGTATCGAGCACTGACAATACCATCGTCGTCGTTATCTAACAAAAAATAAATAAATAAACGCGGTAAAAAAGTGTGGTTAGCGATGAAAACTCATCTAAAATTAGTTTTCATTATTATATCAAAACGTGCAAGTTTCAGACGCAAACATTATTTTTTGTTAATCGGAAAACTAAATGTTGTGGTAACTATTTCTTGTAGCGCATAAAATGAGAGCAAAAAGTTTTTTTTTTCCTTGAAGTATTAGCGAGGGTAACTTTGCATTATCTTTTGCTATGCAATATCAGTTTGGCCTCCGTTGCGTGGGCTTCTCCCCTGGCACTGGTGCGCTGCGGAGAAGCGACACTCGCGGAATGGAAAGCGCGCGAAGTGCCCCCGAGCTCCGACGTCCTCGCTTCTACGAAGAGCCGCGTGCATTTTAGTGCGACTATACTTGAGAATGCCTCCAGCTGCTCGAACGGCATCACGTGGTTTGTGGACCGCGTTTGCAACGCCAGCTGCGAGGAGGCGACGTAGGTGCGAGGAGGCGACGCAGACAACGCGAAGCAAGCGCACTGTCGCCCAATCTGCGCAGAAGGCAACGTTAGCAGAAGGCGTCCGCCATTGAAGCGCGAACCCTCCCCGTGGTTTGACTTGCTCGCTCTCTTTAATCTGGACACTCTTGTGCACTTCGTATCCGGCGTGCGCCGTACAACGACGAATATCGCGAACTAGTTTCGCATGTCCACGTGAGATTCAGGAAGCAGCGAAGTTCGATAATTGCCGTTCCTTCTCGTAAACGCGTCGTAAAAAAAAAAAAAAAGTGTTTGAATGTGAGATTTGTGCAGTGTGCGTCTCCTTATACTGCGCGGCAAGCAGGCGACGCACTCCGTCGTCTGCTCGCAGCGTCTACCGGGTGATGGCGCTGCAAGTTACAAATCATCGCTGCGTGATCTTCTTCGAGCACGTCCGCCGTTGGATCTGGCAAATTTGTTCGTCTCATTTGTCGCAGGAAGAGAGCTACGTCTTAAAATTTCACCAGTTAGAGTCCACCCTCTAAATGCGCGTTCGATGAAAGTTCGTGCTTCTTATGTGTAGGCGCCGAATTTTTTCAGTTTGTATCACAGCTCCAGGGTCCATATTTGCCACCCAATATGCACATATACCGTAGATACAAAAAAAAAAAGAAGCTTCATAGCCGTACCGTGAGGTTTGTATGGAAAAATGTGCCAGTATAACAGGTATTAAATCATAATAGGATAGGAACCCCAAACTTTAGGGCGAATTCGTGCAGATCATTCAGAAATATTCTGTCGCACCAACTACAAGAAATATATGTTTTTTTTTTGTTTTTTTTTCCTAGCTCATTCACCGAGTGGAACGCATTGCCCCAGTCTGCCATTATACGTATTAACGTGGTATTGCTTCTTTCAGGAAAGTGATTCTGACTTTTAACTGGCTTTCCTTTTTCTATTTAACTTGATTTTTTTTTGTCAATGAACAGCTTTTATTGAATTTTTACCTGTTCATGTTCCACAAACGAGTTTTTTTTATATAACATGGCTGTACCTTTTATTGTGCTTCGGCGCTGCCGGTTGTTTTTGCAAACAACGAAATGAAACACGGAGCCCCATCTCTTGTTACAGGTTAAGAAAAGCTGGACAAGCGCTCCTCTTGAGAAATCCCCCACCCTTTTCCACCTAGCAGAGCGAACACCGAGAGGAGGCGAGACAAGGCGAGGAAGGACTCGCCTCTTCTTCGGCTAATTGGAAAGAGTTGTGGGCTTTGGGGGAGAAGCTCGTAGTCATTACTTTTTTAGTAACTTTTACTCGAGGGAATAGGCAGAAAAAGGAACGTCTCAGAAGCTGGTTGAGAGTGGCCGTGTGGGCACACTACATAGGATGTTTGAGAAAAAAACCAGCTAGCTAAGTGTGAGACCTTCCCTTATATGTATTTTCCTTCTACTATTTTTTTTTCCTTTCCTGCATTACAATTTTAGGCGCTAAACGACATGATTAGTGACCAGCTCGCCTGAACACTCACAGTTTTTTTAATTATGTTTGCGCATGCGTGTTTGGGCCCGCTCAGTGTATGTGTGTGTACCCTGTCCAAGCGTGCTCCGCACCTCCCCTTGTTCTCCGTAGTGGCGTCCTGTACGTGATGCCGCCCCTTGAACCATCGGCCCCCCCGTGGACGCCAAGTCCGGTGCCGTCGTCCCCGCCGCCGCCCCTCACTCCCCTCGCCTCGTCGCCACTCAGAGATGCCCCCGACGACAGCAAGGCGGCGCTGCAGCGCAATGGTGCGTGAGTCAACTTTCCTATCACCGCGGCTGCGATACAACCAATTAAAAGCGTCCACGTTACCGTAATTAGTTATGGTAGTCGGTGCAACACAGCCGCACGACGTGAACACACGCCACACAACAGTGTTGTTGAAGTTTCTGTTCTTGGAGTGTTTTCATGCAGCGTAAGGCGGGGTCACCCTGCTCATACATCATACAAAAGACAGTCTGCAAACACGACTCACCGCATTATCCGTGGTTCGAATACCGTGTGCCAAGTTTCTCTTTGTACTCGTTGCCGTGCGGCATTCGGAGCACGGATATCACGGCAACTAGCGTTCGAATCTGTATGCAGACTGGCTCTTGTATGATATATAAGAAGTGTAACCGCTGCTTAATTAAAGCGTGTTGTCGTCGTTTTTTAAATGAGTAGGGAAACATTCCCGCAGCAGTTGTGTTCATATATTCGGTTACATGTTTGGGGTCTCTTAGTTTAGTTATGCACTCGGCGTCAGCTCCTCTATGCTACATTGTCAAGACTATAGCCTAGCATTCGCAGTGCTACAACTCTGTCAAAGCAAGTTGCTCGAAGGCATGCGAACAAAACGCAAGTCGAAGTCAGGAGCTTTCGCAGCAGTGCGGGGCTGCGGCATGGTGGAACCTACGCCAGCCTCGACAATGTATAAGCCCGAAATATTTGACGCCAAGTATAGTTATACACTTCAAGTTTCGAGTTTATTTATTTTACAGCGAAGCTGTTTATGGTTTGGCTAGGGTTCCGTGGATTTTTCATGTGCGTCAGCAGTAATTCAGAGAGAGTTCGCACCGCCCTCTTTTTGCCGTCGTTTCAAGCGCTTGCGTGCCTAGTTTCCTTTCCTTCCGCCGGGTGGCGGTCCCGTTGCGCTTGTCTAGTTTTCTCCGGCTCCTCGGGGCGGTGATAGTCCTCGACATGTGCGCGCACCTTTCGTCTCGATGACCGCCGATCAAGGCAAAAAATGTGTTCGTACCTTTGTTCAAAATTCTGTGTCACGTCTGTGTCGTGTGCTAAAACAGCTTTGCTGTTTCTCCACCTTCACAAAGTGGAATGGCTCATAAAACTGCCCTATCGGCAGTGCCCATCTCCCCCATCCAGTCTTGTACAAGTTACTAAAAAAACTTAATCAATTACATTTACAATTCCTCTTGCCAAAAAAGTATTTAATGAGATTGCTTTATTACCTGAGTAAAAAGTAATTGGCTGTTACTTAAAAAGTAACCGTTAGTTGTCCGATTACTCATGAATTTCAGAATGACAAATTTTTCTGCCGGTTTGAAAACGGCTCTTTTGTACCGTCCACGATTAAATTAGTATCACCGAATTATGAACCATAATCATCTTCTGAATCAACCACCCTCCTGTCACACATTTGGTTCGAGGATTCCTTGGTAGGAAACTTGTACAAACAAACTTCGCCATAAGGAACGGGAAGGCAGAATATTAGCGGCTAAAGCTAGTTTGAGGACTTCTAAAAATAACCAGATTACTCTTGCAACTACATCCTAATAAATGTGCTAAAATTATTTACAATATAATTTAAAAAAAGTAATCGATTAAAAATAATTTGATTACTTGAAATAAGTGCCGTACAAGTATGCGCATATCACAGCAGAGGTTAGGGTGACATAGGCAGGATCTCGCCATTATAAGTGGCGTTATATGCGTGCTGTGCCTTCTAGAATGGTCGCGAACGGAGCGTTGCATTAAAACGGCGCTGTGCCAATATCTTTTTTCGCACCGGAAAATAAACCGTTTCGAGAAATCACATCTCGACATCGAGGAATATTTCAAACTTGAAGCGCAACTTTTTTTTTTTTTTCAGTAACTGTAACTGAAATTAGATACGTACAGTTGTAAAAGCGTTAGCCGTATGTCTAACATTCTTACGTTTCTGCTAAACTAGCTATAAGCCTAATTGAATTACTTTCTAAATGTATCTTTTACGGCTCTGTTTTCGACTTGACCCGCATCCTACATCAGCTGTTGGAACAGAACAGCAAAGGGATACGAAACACGACCACGCAGCGAAATCAAAACATCCGCTTAGAGTCTGGGAGCAAGTAAGAAAGAAAGAAAGAAAGAAAAAGGGAAAAGAGAAAGATAGCAATAGAGAGAAAGAGGAAGGGAGCAGGATGCGGTGCCCTCTGTTGTTCTTCATTTACACTGCGCAGGGGGTTAAAATATTTTTTTTTTCGCATAACGCCTTGCCCAGCGCTCATTTTCCGCCCGAATGTAGCGCTAGCGAAGCAGTTCGAACAAGACGCGCAAGTTTCAGAACGAACCGTTATCGTATTTAAAAGTTATAAGTGATTTTCTCGAAATTGTAATGGGGAAATGGTGACAGACGGAGCTCTCGAATACGTGGAGCTGAATGATGCAGTACCGAAAACATTTCCCCTTTGAAATTTCAGAAAAACACTCGTAACTTTTGATAGAGATAACAGTTCAGTTTAAAACTTTGTCCTCTGGTTCAAACCACTGGTGCTAAATTTGAGCGGAAAATGAAGATTTGACAATACGTAATTTTTTTTCGATGAAAAAGCAAACAACAACAACTGTAAATTATTTGGAGGGACACTTTGTACAAGCATGCCATGCGCACTTGTCCCCTCATCCTTGTTATCGCGGGTGGTACAATGGGTACACAGATCGGTTCACCCATGTAAAGTGCATATAGGTTCGCTAGTACCTCTTTCGATTAAAATCTGGCCATTGTGTTTGGAATGAATTCTCCGGGCGTCCATCTTGTACCAATGTGCAAAGTGTTACGCGCCCGCGAGAATACGCCGAGAAGCTGAGGGAGACGAGGAGACGAGAGAAGACGCCAGAACGCCGAGCTCCAATTGGAAGGATTAGTGAGTATAGACCTAAAGCTGTAGCTGCCTTTGTCCCCACTGCACTCATCGAACGCGTTCGAACGCGAGGTTCAAACGCCGCACGCTGGCGTTCCGAGTCCTATCGCGTTCGACAATTGCAATGGAGACAAAGGCAGCTAGCTTTAGGTCTACTTGTATAGTCACTGAACGTCTAGGTCTACCAACAAATCATTCGAACCAGAACTCGGCGTTCTGACGTCCCCGCGCTTTCTCGTCTGCTTTTTGCGCAGCGGTTGCGGTGACGTCGAAATGACGCCGAGTTCTGATTGGATTTGATTGGAAGGATAGTGGGTAGACTTCAATGCTGGATGAGTCGAGGTCTACCCACTATTTTTTTCGATCAGCCAGTAAAAGCTCGGCGCTCTGACATCCTCGCAACTTCTGTGAAAGAAGCAGACAAACTTGCACTCCGCACAGACTTATTGCTAAATTACCCATGCATCAAGGAGAATGGTGGGAACGTAAGTACACGCGCCGCACGCGCTCGCCTTCCCCGTATAAAAAAAAAAATCGAAGTAAATAACCAAAACAAGGCGTTGTAGGACGCGCGTGCAAGATGCCATTTGCGTTAGGCTTTTGCTTTAGAACAGTTGCTACGGTTGACTTCTGCGATAGCCTCCTCTATACTCACGAAACCTTTCAGTTCGACGACGGAGCCATGGAGTGCCCGGTCGCAGGTTTGGAGCGCGAGGATCTGGTAGCACAGAGCATCAAAGAGCCATTTTTCGGGGAACCTGGACGTCAGCGCACGGCTTTTGCAGCGGCGAGGACCCGAAACACACTTGATCACTCGGGAGAAGTGTGTTTCGGCGTCTCGCCGCAGCGGGGCGCCAGTTACGTGACTCTCCTCTCATCCGTTGTCTGCCGCTACACCTTTTCCCTTTCGGCGGCCGCTTCTCGTGGCGATCTGCCAGGCTTTGTTAGTATACAGGAAGCTATGGAACGAGTCACGCTAGACTCTGTCCACCCTTAAGCTGAGACTGCAGCCAAAGTTACAAGCGTTCTGCGGAAGAACGCTTCAAAGCAGCGACCTCGAGCCCTCGTGCTTGTAGCATTGGCTGCAGTCTCAGCTCAAGGGTGAACAGAGTAGTAACCACAAGTGATTGTGTTATGTCTGCGGTGCAAGGAGTGGCCAGACGAAGGAAGGACTGCGAAACAGCTTTATTTCCGCAGAGGCCGGCAGCGATCTGGCTGCGCGTATGACGGTGCTCTTCTTATAGAGCGCCCGGTGACGTCAGTACTACGCGTACTGCTGATAGCAACGGCAGCGGCCTCTAGCACTTCCTCCACCGCAATTTGGAACGTCATGAGGCTTCATAGCGATCGGGGGGTCTTCTCTGGCGTTGTGGGTATCGCCGAGGCGCAGCGTTAGTGGGGGTGACGGGCACCGTTTGTCTTGCGGAGACAGTAGACGGAGGTGGTACGTCGGCTTCAGACGCAGGATAGATGGTGTCGGTATCGTCCTCCCCCACAAGGGACGGCGCTGTCACTGCAGTAGACGCTGAGCGCAGGTGGTCCTTGTGTCGCCTCCAAGTACGGAGTCCATCCGGTGTCCGCACCTTGACCACGTAGGACACTGGTCCCGTCCGCTGCAGTACTGTTGCGTGGAACCATGTGGGGCCGCTCTTGGTTCTCCAAGTCCGTTTCCAAGGAGGGCCACCATACGTAGCTTCGGGCGAGTGCTTTGCTCCGCACTATTCCTGGGTGTCCCTGGTGTAGCTCCTCCAGGACCAGCTGTTGAAGTTTCGGGGGCACGACGACTCTCATTCCATGCATCAGGCACCGCTCGTGGACTGTGAGTTCCCTGCGTCGTGCCATCTTTCATGACGTGCGACAGCACAGCGCCGAGACCATACGCAGACGCATCGCAGGATAGCTGCAGCGGGCGTGCCGGGTCGTAGTGTGCCAGCACCTCCGTCGAAGACAAGATTTCCTTGATGGCTTGGAAGGCATCTTGACATTTCCGATTCCAGCACCAGGGAGCATCCTTCTGTAGTAACCTGTAGAAAGGCTTTGCCAGCGTTGCTAGCCGTGGCGTGAATTTTCCATAGTAATTTATCAGTCCAAGCAGTGAACGCAACTGTGCGATGTTAGTAGGCGCTGGG